GTAAGATATCCTCCCGTGCATCTAGGTTAAAGTTCCTCGCACAGCGTTGACCTGGACATGCTACCCACAAGACATTTTTTATATTATCCTATTATGTTTTACATTTATATACCACACTTATCCAGTGGATAATCTTCTCGAATGCGGTTTATTTGTTCCCGACCAGTGGATCCCTTTCAGACCCAGTTATCATTATCAACTCCCAGGGGAGTATACAACCCATGGGGGCTAGAGGGTTTTTACACCCACTCCAAATGTCGGGTACCCATTTCCTTCTGGGTAAAAAGAGGCACATTTCAGCTTTGTCACTTGCTCAGGGTGGCACAACACGTTTTGACACCTGTATTCCGGGTATTTGGACGTATTCGTGGTTCCATCGGAGGAGTGGGGTCTTTTGGAATGCACGGAGTGAATGTACTGTACACTAGGTGTTGCACTTACAACATTAATGTACACGTATTTACTTTGTATGGGCTTCTGGGTTGATGCTGTGTTGATTTCATGTACTTAAGGAAGTACTTTCTTATGTTAGAGGTGTTGAATACTTTGATGTATGTTATGCATGTAAAACATGTGAAGAAAAGAGAAAAGAAAAGTATGTTTATGTTGCGTTGCATGGGTGCGACTCGAACCAGTGTTGCGTGCATGTTGACATTCACGACGTCATTAATGAACAGTCAATTAGAGTTATGGTTCTTTGTGAGTAAGCGCGATAACCGTACTTGCGTGGTGGGCATAATGACGGTTTCTTTGCTGATAAAGGGGAAAATTTGTAAGTTACAGCTGATGTAAATCATTATTGATAATGACTCATTACAGTTAGCGTTCATTCATATATGTATGTAGCAGATAAATACGCCTTTTTCGGCGCTGTATGGACAGGAAGTTTATTTTATCATGCTTGGGTCTTCACTGCTTCAGACTTGAATAAACAAGAACCATTCAAGACCCCTTCGATTTGTTCCTTTACCTCGCCACTAGGGGTAGTGACAACACTGTAAAGACCTGTAAACATTGCTGATTCAGACCGCTTGTCTACTCAGCCAAGACTGTACCAGTCCACGCCAGCAGCCCTCGAAACAAACAGGGCTGTGTCTCACCAGTGACATTGATTGGGGCGCTTCCTTCGTTGCTGTGTAGTCGCCAGGGCTTGTGTTATATGTGTGTAAATAAATTAGTGAGTGAGTTGGATTTAACGCCACTTTTAACATTATTCCAGTTATACCACGGCGTGTCAGCATAATGTGGAAGGAAAGGCCGAAGTGATGCAGGTCTCAGACGTTTACCACTTCGGTGAAACACACGAGCACGGGTATGGTGCCGACAAACCTAAAAACAAAATCGCGGCGAACCGGGATTCGAACCCACAATCATAGGTTTCTGGCGTGCCCAAGGGACGCAACTCTGCACAGCGAATCGCGGCGCCTTAGACGACTGGGCCACCCGTGCCCCCTAATAAAAATAGAATTAACACTGTAGGATTTTAAGAGTTAACTGGACACGGACGTCAAGTTGAAGAGGTTGACAAGCAACGAGTATTGATTTCCTTACAGATGTGTAGTGTACCCCTAAACAAGCTTGGAATACTTATTGATAGTGTGAGAGAGTGGGTTTGACGCCGCTTTGAATTCTGTTTCAGTTCACAGCACCTGAAACAGTCTTAGTATGTAGGAAAGCTCAATAACGCAGGTCGTAGACGCTTAACTATCAAACCTTTTGTAAACATATCTGGGACTCGAACTCTTGACTCGCGTCGCTGTTTTATCTGTATGGACCCCCAACGCCTGCGCAGTTAACTGGGTGACTGTCTAAACGCAACAGTCAGCGTGAACCAGTATGACCAACGATGGGTCAAAGTGACATAAAAGTACATGAACTTTCATATGTAGGTAATCTACACTGTGTAGGAACGTGATTAGGTAAGTACCGAAGTCACGAGAGAAGGACATTTCAAGCGTCCATCATAACAAGTACTGATCAACATGGAAAGTCAGCAGTAAGTAAATATTCTCCTCAAATAAGCTTCATCCTTCGTCGCTGTTGCAGTGTTTTTAATTAGTTGACACCATACGCGACGATGTCGTAAGAGGCGACCAACGGGATCGGGTGGTCAGGCTCGCTGACTTGGTTGATGCATGTCATCAATCCCAATTGCGTGGATCGATGCTAATGATATCAATCACTGGATTGTCTGGTCCAGACTCGATTATTTACAAGCCGCCGTCGTATAGCTGGAATATGGCTGAGTGCGGCGCTAAACACGTACGGGATTGAGGTACGCTTGGATGAAACTAGGCAAAGCGAGATAAGTGTTACATTGACACTGGCTCACAGATTGAATCCTTCTTGCCAAGTACGTCCTCAAACAAATTACCATTTCAACTACTCTTTCAATACTGTAAGACGGACCCGTGAAGATCCGGGTTAGAATAGGTCTTCAGCAACCTATATGCTTGTGGTAAGAGGCGACTAACGGGATCGGGTGGTCAGGCACGCTGACTTGGTTGATGCAGATCATCGTATCCAAGTTGCGTGGATCGATGCTCATATCACTGAATTGTGTGGTCCAGACACGATTATTCACAGACTGCCGCCACACAGCTGTATAACAAAAATGTGTGTGTGTGTGTGTGTGTGTGTGTGTGTGTGTGTGTGTGTGTGTGTGTGTGTGTGTGTGTGTGTGTGTGTGTGTGTGTGTGTGTGTGTGTGCATGATGTCTAAACGTTGGTTTTAACTCTGACCTGCTGCGCTGTCTGAATCTGGGGTATAGCCTCTGACCTGCTGCACTGTCTGAATGTGGGTTTAAACTCTTTAGGGAGGCAATCTGGCATAATTAGTAGGGGAAGCAATCTGGCATAATTAGTGGGGGAAGCAATCTGGCATAATTAGTGGGGGAAGCAATCTGGCATAATTAGTGGGGGAAGCAATCTGGCATAATTACTGGGGGAAGCAATCTGGCATAATTAGTGGGGGAAGCAATCTGGTAAAATTAGGAGGGGGAAGCAATTTGGTATAATTAGTAGGGGAAGCAATCCGGCATATTAGTCGGTGAAGCAATCTGGCATAATTAGTGCGGGCGGGGGGGGATCTATCTGGCATAATTAGTAGGGGAAGCTATCTAGCATAATTAGTGGGGGAAACATTCTGGCATAATTAGTGGGGGAAGGAATCTGGCATAATTAGTTGGGGAAGCAATCTGGCATAATAAGTAGGGGAAGCAATCTGGCATAATTAGTGGGGGAAGCAATCTGGTAAAATTAGGAGGGGGAAACAATCTGGTATAATTAGTAGGGGAAGCAATCTGGCATAATTAGTAGGGGAAGCAATCTGGCATAATTAGTAGGGGAAGCAATCTGGCATAATTAGTGGGGGAAGCAATCTGGCATAATTAGTAGGGGAAGCAATCTGGCATAATTAGTGGGGGAAGCAATCTGATAAAATTAGTAGGGGAAGCAATCTGGTAAAATTAGGAGGGGAAGCAATCAGGTAAAATCAGGAGGGGAAGCAATTTGGTGTAACTAATATCCGATATCATATCAAGAAATTCAAATAATCGCAACTCAAGGTGCAAAAAAGTGTACACCCTTTGCCGCGGTATAGTAAGATTAAAGACACTTTCGTTATACACCACGTGGTTGTTATCTCTATAATAACCTTGTCTCTCAGATCTGTGACTTGCATAAACTGTCCAGCCTTGGTGTGAGCGTGTCGGGCTGACAGATATAGCTGTAAGATATCCTCCCGTGCATCTAGGTTAAAGTTCTTCGCACAGCGTTGACCTGGACATGCTACCCACAAGACATTTTTTATATTATCCTATTATGTTATACATTTATATACCACACTTATCCAGTGGATAATCTTCTCGAATGCGGTTTATTTGTTCCCCGACCAGTGGATCCCTTTCAGTCCCAGTTATCATTATCAACTCCCAGGGGAGTATACAACCCATGGGGGCTAGAGGGTTTTTACACCCACTTAAAATGTCGGGTACCCATTTCCTGCTGGGTAAACAGAGGCACATTTCAGCTCTGTCATTTGCTCAGGGTGGCACAACACGTTTTGACACCTGTGTTCCGGGTATTTGGTCGTATTCGTGGTTCCATCGGAGGAGTGGGGTCTTTTGGAATGCACAGGGTGACACACTAGGGGTAGTGACAACAGTGTAAAGACCTGTCTACTGTCTCCTTGTCTACTCAGCCAAGACTGTACCAGTCCACGCCAGCAGCCCTCGAAACAAACAGGGTTGTGTCTCACCAGTGACATTGATTGGGGCGCTTCCTTCATTGCTGTGTAGTCGCCAGGGCTTGTGTTATATGTGTGTTAATAAACATAGTGAGTGAGTTGGATTTAACGCCGCTTTGAACATTATTCCAGTTATACCACGGCGTGCCAGCTTAATGTGGAAGGAAAGGCCGAAGTGATGCAGGTCTCAGACGTTTACTACTTCGGTGAAACACACGAGCACGGGTATGGTGCTGACAAACCTAAACACAAAATCGCGGCGAACCGGGATTCGAACCCACAATCATAGGTTTCTGGCGTGCCGAAGGGACACAACTCTGCACAGCGAATCGCGGCGTCTTAGACGACTGGGCCACCCGTGCCCCCTAATAAACATAGAATTAACACTGTAGGATTTTAAGAGTAAACTGGACACAGACGTCAAGTTGAAGAGGTTGACAAGCAACGAGTATTGATTTCCTTACAGAAGTGTAGTGTACCCCTAAACAAGCTTGGAATACTTATTGATAGTGTGAGAGATTGGGTTTGACGCCGCTTTGAATTCTGTTTCAGTTCACAGCACCTGAAACAGTCTTATTATGTAGGAAAGCTCAATAACGCAGGTCGTAGACGCTTAACTATCAAACCTTTTGTAAACATATCTGGGACTCTAACTCTTGACTGGCGTCGCCGTTTTATCTGTATGGACCCCCAACGCCAGCGCAGTTAACTGGGTGACTGTCTTAACGCAACAGTCAGCGTGAACCAGTATGACCAACGATGGGTCAAAGTGACATAAAAGTACATGTACTTTCATATGTAGGTAATCTACACTGTGTAGGAACGTGATTAGGCAAGTAGCGAAGTCACGCGAGAAGGACATTTCAAGCGTCCATCATAACAAGTACTGATTAACATGGAAAGTCAGCAGTAAGTAAAATTTAATATTCTCCTCAAATAGGCTTCATCCTCCATCGCTATTGCAGTGTTTTTAATTAGTTGACACCATACGCGACGATATCGTGAGAGGCGACTAACGGGATCGGGTGGTCAGGCTCGCTGGCTTGGTTGATGCATGTCATCGTATCCCAATTGCGTGGATCGATGCTCATGATATCAATCACTGGATTGTCTGGTATAGACTCGATTATTTACAAGCCGCCGTCGTATAGCTGGAATATGGCTGAGTGCGGCGCTAAACAACAAACCAACCAACCAACCAACCAACCTCTCGGCTTAATACGTCATTTGCAAGGAACGTACGGGATTGAGGTACGCTTGGATGAAACTAGGCAAAGCAGGATAAGTGTTACATTGACACTGGCTCACAGATTGAATCCTTCTTGCCAAGTACGTCCTCAAACAAATTACCATTTCAACTACTCTTTCAATACTGTAAGACGGACCCGTGAAGATCCGGGTTAGAATAGGTCTTCAGCAACCTATATGCTTGTGGTAAGAGGCGACCAACGGGATCGGGTGGTCAGGCTCGCTGACTTGGTTGATGCAGATCATCGTATCCAAGTTGCGTGGATCGATGCTCATATCCCTGAATTGTGTGGTCCAGACAACAACTGTAAGACGCTTGGGAATGTGTGTGTGTGTGTGTGTGTGTGTGTGTGTGTGTGTGTGTGTGTGCATGATGTCTGAATGTGGGCTATAGCCTCTGACCTGCTGCGATGTCTGAATGTGGGTTTAAACTCTGACCTGCTGCGCTGTCTGAATGTGGGTTTAAACTCTGACCTGCTGCGCTGTCTGAATGTGGGTTTAAACTCTGACCTGCTGCGCTGCCTGAATGTGGGGTTAAACTCTTTGACCTGCTGCGCTGCCTGAATGTGGGGTTTTGCCTCTGATCTGCTGTAACAAGAGTTAACCCACAACCCTTGATGTAAAAATGTTTGCATTAAGAGTAATATTTATTTTAAGGTTTGTAATAGAGGTTCAGTACTTTGAAAACAGGAATAAGCAAGCACTGCTGTAACGCCTATATTACACTGTACAGTAAGAGTTATCCTTCTTGTTTGAACTCGATCTCGTGTTCATAGGCCCATATGCAAACCTTCGAGAGGGGCACGACGTGTCCCGGATAGACACGAGCTGGTCACGAATAAGTCACGAATGTCATGGGTTATACCGGAAACAGACGAGGTGGGGGAAGCAATCTGGCATAATTAGTAGGGGAAGCAATCTGGCATAATTAGTGGGGGAAGCAATCTAGCATAATTACTGGGGTAAGCAATCTGGCATATTTAGTAGGGGAAGCAATCTGGCATAATAAGTGGGGGAAGCAATCTGGTAAAATTAGGAGGGGGAAGCAATCTGGTGTAATTAGTAGGGGAAGCAATCTGGCATAATTACTGGGGGAAGCAATCTGTCATAATTACTGGGGGAAGCAATCTGGCATAATTACTGGGGGAAGCAATCTGGTAAAATTAGGAGGGGGAAGCAATCTGGTGTAATAAGTAGGGGAAGCTATCTGGCATAATTACTGGGGGAAGCAATCTGGCATAGTAAGTGGGGGAAGCAATCTGGCATAATTAGTGGGGGAAGCAATCTGGCATAATAAGTGGGGGAAGCAATCTGGCATAATTACTGGGGGAAGCAATCTGGCATAGTAAGTGGGGGAAGCAATCTGGTAAAATTAGGAGGGGGAAGCAATCTGGTATAATTAGTAAGGGAAGCAACCTGGCATAATAAACAACCATTTCAACTACTCTTTCAATACTGTAAGACGGACCCGTGAAGATCCGGGTTAGAATAGGTCTTCAGCAACCTATATGCTTGTGGTAAGAGGCGACTAACGGGATCGGGTGGTCAGGCTCGCTGACTTGGTTGATGCAGATCATCGTATCCAAGTTGCGTGGATCGATGCTCATATCACTGAATTGTGTGGTCCAGACACGATTATTCACAGACTGCCGCCACACAGCTGTATAACAAAAATGTGTGTGTGTTCGTGTGTGTGTGTGTGTGTGTGTGTGTGTGTGTGTGTGTGTGTGTGTGTGTGTGTGTGTGTGTGTGTGTGTGTGTGTGTGTGTGTGTGTGTGTGTGTGTGTGTGTGTGTGCATGATGTCTGAATGTAGGGGAAAAGCCTCTGTCCTGTTGCGCTGTCTGAATGTGGGTTTTTTACTCTGATCTGCTGCGCTGTCTGAATGTGGGGTATAGCCTCTGACCTGTTGCGCTGTCTGAATGTGGGATATGGTCTCTGATCTGCTGCGCTGTCTGAATGTGGGGTATAGCCTCTGACCTGCTGCACTGTCTGAATGTGGGTTATAGGCTCTGACCTGCTGCGCTGTCTGAATGTGGGGTATAGCCTCTGATCTGCTGCGCTGTCTGAATGTGGGTTTTAACTCTCTGACCTGCTGCGCTGTCTGAATGTGGGATATGGCCTCTGACCTGCTGCGCTGTCTGAATGTGGGTTATAGGCTCTGACCTGCTGCACTGTCTGAATGTGGGTTATAGCCTCTGATCTGATGCGCTATCTGAATCATGGTTTTAACTCTCTGAACTGCTGCGCTGTCTGAATGTGAGGTATAGCCACTGACCTGCTGCGCTGTCTGAATGTGGGTTTTAACTCTCTGAACTGCTGCGCTGTCTGAATGTGGGTTTTAACTCTCTGACCTGCTGCGCTGTCTAAATGTGGGGTATGGTCTCTGACCTGCTGCGCCATCTGAATTCTGGGTTATAGTCTCTGACCTGCTGCACTGTCTGAATGTGGGCTATGGTCTCTGACCTGCTGCGCCGTCTGAATGTGGGCTATGGTCTCTGACCTGCTGCGCCATCTGAATGTGGCTTATGGTCTCTGACCTGCTGCGCCGTCTGAATGTGGGTTATAGTCTCTGACCTGCTGCGCCGTCTGAATGTGGGCTATGGTCTCTGACCTGCTGCGCCGTCTGAATGTGGGTTATGGTCTCTGACCTGCTGCGCCGTCTGAATGTGGGCTATGGTCTCTGACCTGCTGCGCCGTCTGAATGTGGGCTATGGTCTCTGACCTGCTGCGCCGTCTGAATGTGGGCTATGGTCTCTGACCTGCTGCGCTGTCTGAATGTGGGATATGGTCTCTGATCTGCTGCGCTGTCTGAATGTGAGGTATAGCCTCTGACCTGCTGCGCTGTCTGAATGTGGGCTATGGTCTCTGACCTGCTGCGCCGTCTGAATGTGGGTTATGGTCTCTGACCTGCTGCGCCATCTGAATGTGGCTTATGGTCTCTGACCTGCTGCGCCGTCTGAATGTGGGTTATAGTCTCTGACCTGCTGCGCCGTCTGAATGTGGGCTATGGTCTCTGACCTGCTGCGCCGTCTGAATGTGGGTTATGGTCTCTGACCTGCTGCGCCGTCTGAATGTGGGCTATGGTCTCTGACCTGCTGCGCCGTCTAAATGTGGGCTATGGTCTCTGACCTGCTGCGCCGTCTGAATGTGGGCTATGGTCTCTGACCTGCTGCGCCGTCTAAATGTGGGCTATGGTCTCTGACCTGCTGCGCCGTCAAAATGTGGGCTATGGTCTCTGACCTGCTGCGCCATCTGAATGTGGGCTATGGTCTCTGACCTGCTGCGCCGTCTGAATGTGGGCTATGGTCTCTGACCTGCTGCGCCGTCTGAATGTGGGCTATGGTCTCTGACCTGCTGCGCCGTCTGAATGTGGGTTATGGTCTCTGACCTGCTGCGCCGTCTGAATGTGGGCTATGGTCTCTGACATGCTGCGCCGTCTAAATGTGGGCTATGGTCTCTGACCTGCTTCGCCGTCTGAATGTGGGCTATGGTCTCTGACCTGCTGCGCCGTCTAAATGTGGGCTATGGTCTCTGACCTGCTGCGCCATCTGAATGTGGGCTATGGTCTCTGACCTGCTCCGCCGTCTGAATGTGGGCTATGGTCTCTGACCTGCTGCGCCATCTGAATGTGGGCTTTGGTCTCTGACCTGCTGCGCCGTCTGAATGTGGGCTATGGTCTCTGACCTGCTGCGCCATCTGAATGTGGGCTATGGTCTCTGACCTGCTGCGCTGTCTGAATGTGGGCTATGGTCTCTGACCTGCTGCGCCATCTGAATGTGGGCTATGGTCTCTGACCTGCTGCGCCGTCTGAATGTGGGCTATGGTCTCTGACCTGCTGCGCCGTCTGAATGTGGGTTATGGTCTCTGACCTGCTGCGCCATCTGAATGTGGGCTATGGTCTCTGACCTGCTGCGCCGTCTGAATGTGGGCTATGGTCTCTGACCTGCTGCGCCGTCTGAATGTGGGCTATGGTCTCTGACCTGCTGCGCCGTCTGAATGTGGGCTATGGTCTCTGACCTGCTGCGCTGTCTGAATGTGGGCTATGGTCTCTGACCTGCTGCGCCATCTGAATGTGGGTTATAGTCTGTGACCTGCTGCGCCGTCTGAATGTGGGCTATGGTCTCGGACCTGCTGCGCTGTCTGAATGTGGGCTATGGTCTCTGACCTGCTGCGCCGTCTGAATGTGGGTTATGGTCTCTGACCTGCTGCGCCGTCTGAATGTGGGGTATAGCCTCTGACCTGCTGCGCCGTCTGAATGTGGGGTATAGTCTCTGACCTGCTGCGCCGTCTGAATGTGGGCTATGGTCTCTGACCTGCTGCGCCGTCTGAATGTGGGCTATGGTCCCTGACCTGCTGCGCTGTCTGAATGTGGGATATGGTCTCTGATCTGCTGCGCTGTCTGAATGTGGGGTATAGCCTCTGACCTGCTTCACTGTCTGAATGTGGGTTATAGGCTTTTACCTGCTGCGCTGTCTAAATGTGGGGTATAGCCTCTGATCTGCTGCGCTGTCTGAATGTGGGTTTTAACTCTCTGACCTGCTGCGCTGTCTGAATGTGGGATATGGCCTCTGACCTGCTGCGCTGTCTGAATGTGGGTTATGGGCTCTGACCTGCTGCACTGTCTGAATGTGGGTTATAGCCTCTGATCTGATGCGCTATCTGAATCATGGTTTTAACTCTCTGAACTGCTGCGCTGTCTGAATGTGAGGTATAGCCTCTGACCTGCTGCGCTGTCTGAATGTGGGTTTCAACTCTCTGAACTGCTGCGCTGTCTGAATGTGGGTTTTAACTCTGAACTGCTGTGCAGTCTGAATTTGGGGTATAGCCTCTGACCTGCCGCGCTGTCTGAATGTGGGTTATAGCCTCTGATCTTCTGCGCTGTCTGAATGTGGGTTATAGTCTCTGACCTACTGCGCTGTCTGAATGTGGGTTATGGTCTCTGACCTGCCCTAAATCCCTCACTCATTCATTCTTCACAGAACTCCCGAGATTCTGGACTACCGGAATGAAAATGGTCATGGGTGGTCCTTCTACAAACATGACGGCGTCCTCCTGCATATTCACACTACCCCTGAAGCTCATATGGAAATAATCCGAAATGTTCAGAAGTTCGAGCTGAGGGACGATGACGTCATGATAGTGGCATATCCCAAATGTGGTAAGAACTCGAGATAGAAGATTTACTCAATAAATGATTTTAAAATGAATAATATGATTTCTAGAGTGTGAGTGAATGTTGTTATACGCCGCAGTAAGCATGTGGCTCAGTATGGGGCTAAATACCCAAGCACCCAGCAACTCTCACATCTCACACACATGATGCTGTCTATTCCGATCCCTCCAGGTACCCACTGGTTGTGGGAAATCGTCACCATGCTCAGGGCCGGTAATTCTGAGTACAACAAGAAGGCGAAGGAGATCGCCATGTTGGGGATGCCGAAGTTTGAGCGGGCTGATGAACTTCCCTCTCCGCGGGTTCTGAACTCGCATCTTTACTTCCGTCATCTGCCGGAGAAACTGGTGGAGAAGAGGATTAAAACCATCCTCATCATGCGAAATCCAAAAGATGTCAGCGTATCTCACTATCATCATGTCAGCGGACTCCAAAAGGTGTTTATGTATGACGGGACGTATTCAGAATTTCTGGATCTGTTTCTTGAAGGAAAAGGTGAGTGAAATGTTCAATGGTCATATCAAGCCTCATGATTTTAACAAAGGCTGATAGTGTAATATGGTTATTACCATGCATGTATATGTTTATAATAATCCAACGGCAGAAATGTTTTTTATATTTATTTAATTTCAAATCAACAATTAATATGATACGTTTACTAACGTTTCTTCAGCTATTCAACCAAATACAGTTCACGGTGGCCCAGTCGTTTAAGGTTCCGCAATTGGCATGGCATGCAAGAAACCTATTATCATGGATTCGAATCCCGGTTCCAATTACGTTTCTAGCTGTGTCAGCACTATGCCCTGGCTCGTGAGTTTGACAAAGATGGTAAACGTCTGGGACATGAATGTCTTCAGGCTTTCCTCCCACGTTAAGGCAAACGCCGTGTAGTCTGTCTCCCAGTCCCTGAACCATTTTATATCCCTTTCGCCCATCACTTACTGTAATGCTTTAACTCAAAACAAAGCAAGCATTTTTCTTCGCTGGAGTCACTGAAGCATAGAGGCCTTTTTCTTTCCGTTGTATGGCCAGGTTATCAGGGGTTATACGGTAATATTGTCATGCATGACTGATTTAACGTATACATGTCAAATCACTTTGACTGTTTTCGTCTGAGCTGCTGACCTGCTGCGCCGTCTGAATGTGGGTTATGGTCTCTGACCTGCTGCGCCGTCTAAATGTGGGCTATGGTCTCTGACCTGCTGCGCCGTCTGAATGTGGGTTATGGTCTCTGACCTGCTGTGCCATCTTAATGTGGGCTATGGTCTCTGACCTGCTGCGCCGTCTGAATGTGGGTTATGGTCTCTGACCTGCTGCGCCGTCTGAATGTGGGTTATGGTCTCTGACCTGCTGCGCCGTCTGAATGTGGGTTATGGTCTCTGACCTGCTGCGCCGTCTGAATGTGGGTTATAGTCTCTGACCTGCTGCGCCGTCTGAATGTGGGTTATGGTCTCTGACCTGCTGCGCCGTCTGAATGTGGGTTATAGTCTCTGACCTGCTGCGCAGTCTAAATGTGGGTTATAGTCTCTGGCCTGCTGCGCCGTCTGAATGTGGGCTATTGTCTCTGACCTGCTGCGCTGTCTGAATGTGGGTTATGGTCTCTGACCTGCTGCGCCGTCTGAATGTGGGTTATAGTCTCTGGCCTGCTGCGCTGTCTGAATGTGGGTTATAGTCTCTGACCTGCTGCGCCGTCTGAATGTGGGTTATAGTCTCTGACCTGCTGCGCCGTCTGAATGTGGGCTATGGTCTCTGACCTGCTGCGCCGTCTGAATGTGGGTGATAGTCTCTGACCTGCTGCGCCGTCTGAATGTGGGTTATGGTCTCTGACCTGCTGCGCCGTCTGAATGTGGGTTATAGTCTCTGGCCTGCTGCGCTGTCTGAATGTGGGTTATAGTCTCTGACCTGCTGCGCCGTCTGAATGTGGGTTATAGTCTCTGACCTCCTGCGCCGTCTGAATGTGGGCTATGGTCTCTGACCTGCTGCGCCGTCTGAATGTGGGTTATGGTCTCTGACCTGCTGCGCCGTCTGAGTGTGGGTTATGATCTCTGACCTGCTGCGCCGTCTGAATGTGGGTTATGGTCTCTGACCTGCTGCGCCGTCTGAATGTGGGCTATTGTCTCTGACCTGCTGCGCTGTCTGAATGTAGGTTATGGTCTCTGACCTGCTGCGCCGTCTGAATGTGGGTTATGGTCTCTGACCTGCTGCGCCGTCTGAATGTGGGTTATGGTCTCTGACTTGCTGCGCCGTCTGAATGTGGGTTATAGTCTCTGACCTGCTGCGCCGTCTGAATGTGGGCTATGGTCTCTGACCTGCTGCGCTGTCTGAATGTGGGTTATGGTCTCTGACCTGCTGCGCCGTCTGAATGTGGGCTATGGTCTCTGACCTGCTGCGCCGTCTGAATGTGGGTTATAGTCTCTGACCTGCTGCGCCGTCTGAATGTGGGTTATAGTCTCTGACCTGCTGCGCCGTCTGAATGTGGGCTATGGTCTCTGACCTGCTGCACCGTCTGAATGTGGGTTATAGTCTCTGACCTGCTGCGCCGTCTGAATGTGGGTTATGGTCTCTGACCTGCTGCGCCGTCTGAATGTGGGTTATAGTCTCTGGCCTGCTGCGCTGTCTGAATGTGGGTTATAGTCTCTGACCTGCTGCGCCGTCTGAATGTGGGTTATAGTCTCTGACCTGCTGCGCCGTCTGAATGTTGGCTATGGTCTCTGACCTGCTGCGCCGTCTGAATGTGGGTTATAGTCTCTGACCTGCTGCGCCGTCTGAGTGTGGGTTATGATCTCTGACCTGCTGCGCCGTCTGAATGTGGGTTATGGTCTCTGACCTGCTGCGCCGTCTGAATGTGGGCTATTGTCTCTGACCTGCTGCGCTGTCTGAATGTAGGTTATGGTCTCTGACCTGCTGCGCCGTCTGAATGTGGGTTATGGTCTCTGACCTGCTGCGCCGTCTGAATGTGGGTTATGGTCTCTGACTTGCTGCGCCGTCTGAATGTGGGTTATAGTCTCTGACCTGCTGCGCCGTCTGAATGTGGGCTATGGTCTCTGACCTGCTGCGCTGTCTGAATGTAGGTTATGGTCTCTGACCTGCTGCGCCGTCTGAATGTGGGCTATGGTCTCTGACCTGCTGCGCCGTCTGAATGTGGGTTATAGTCTCTGACCTGCTGCGCTGTCTGAATGTGGGTTATAGTCTCTGACTTGCTGCGCCGTCTGAATGTGGGTTATGGTCTCTGACCTGCTGCGCCGTCTGAATGTGGGCTATGGTCTCTGACCTGCTGCGCCGTCTAAATGTGGGCTATGGTCTCTGACCTGCTGCGCCGTCTGAATGTGGGTTATGGTCTCTGACCTGCTGCGCCGTCTGAATGTGGGTTATAGTCTCTGGCCTGCTGCGCCGTCTGAATGTGGGCTATGGTCTCTGACCTGCTGCGCCGTCTGAATGTGGGCTATTGTCTCTGACCTGCTGCGCTGTCTGAATGTGGGTTATGGTCTCTGACCTGCTGCGCCGTCTGAATGTGGGTTATGGTCTCTGACTTGCTGCGCCGTCTGAATGTGGGTTATGGTCTCTGACTTGCTGCGCCGTCTGAATGTTGGTTATAGTCTCTGACCTGCTGCGCCGTCTGAATGTGGGTTATGGTCTCTGACTTGCTGCGCCGTCTGAATGTGGGTTATATTCTCTGACCTGCTGCGCCGTCTGAATGTGGGTTATGGTCTCTGACCTGCTGCGCCGTCTGAATGTGGGTTATGGTCTCTGACCTGCTGCGCTGTCTGAATGTGGGTAACAGGATCTGACCTGCTGCGCTTTCTAAGTGTGGGTAACAGGATCTGACCTGCTGCGCTGTCTAAGTGTGGGTAACAGGATCTGACCTGCTGCGCTGTCTAAGTGTGGATAACAGGATCTGACCTGCTGCGCTGAGTGTGAACACTCTAATGAGACGCACTCTGTGAATGTGGGTTAATATTAAATGCTCCGATGTGCTGCTCCCTGAATGTGGATTAAGATTTACCTATTTGTTGCTTAAATAAATACATAAAGTTCTGCCCTGTTTCATCGCTACTTCAGTAGGCGCTGGCCTTCCTGTAGACATATGCTTACATATAAATATATGTTTATGGTGTTTCATTTAATTACTTCCAATGTTTCAGTTCCCGGTGGTGGTTATGCAGACTACGTGAAGGATTGGCAGCAAGTGAAACAGGACAACCCGGACTTGCCTTTCCTAACCTTGTTTTATGAAAACTTGAAAGAGGTTTGTATTTCTTTGATCTAAGACCTGTGTCGAAAGGAGGTCATGGTCTGCTAAGTATACAGTTAGAAGATTTGTCTGAACACTTGAAAATTCAAACTTCACTCTGCTCATTCCTGTGTACTGTGAAGTCGCTCCAAGGGGACGTCATGTCCTCGCCATCTGCTGTAATATAGTTATTGATATGGGGCATGTGATGTCGCCTGATGGTTTTCTTTTTAGGATCCTGTTAAAAACATCAAAACGGTTGCCGAGTTCATAGGAGAGTCAGTCACTGATGAACTCTGTGAGCAAATAGCGGAAGCGTGCAGCTTTAAGAAGCTGAAGGTTGCAGCCACGGACGTGAAGGAGGAATTCCCAAATAGCAATCTGTCAGAAGTCTGGAAGGAAGGACACGAAGGAATGTACAGAAAAGGTGAGATGATTCTTAGGTTTGCCATTGTCTTCTTCATTTGAATCGTAAATCACATGACCACACGGGTTAGAGTAGGCCCCAAGTGTTATATTGCTTGTTGTGAAGACACACGCGGGTGAGAGTTGGTCCCAAGTATCATATTGATTGTTGTGTGACACACGCGGGTTAGAGTTGGTCCCAAGTATTATATTGCTTGTTGTGAGGACACGACAGGTTAGAGTTGGATCAAAGTATTATATTGCTTGTTGTGAGGACACACGCGGGTTAGAGTTGGCCCCAAGTATTAAATTGCTTGTTGTGAGGACACACACGGGTTAGAGTAGGTCCCAAGTATTATATTGCTTGTTTTGATGACACACGCGGGTTAGAGTAGGTCCCAAGTATTATATTGATTGTTGTGAGGACACGACAGGTTAGAGTAGGTCCCAAGTATTAAATTGCTTCATCTGAGGACAAACACGGGTTAGAGTAGGTCCCAAGTATTATATTGATTGTTGTCAGGATTCGACGGGTTAGAGTGGGCCCCAAGTATTATATTGCTTGTTGTGAGGACACACGCGGGTTAGAGTTGGTCCCAAGTATTATATTGCTTGTTGTGAGGACACACGACAGGTTAGAGTAGGTCCCAAGTATTATATTGATTGTTGTGAGGACACACATGGGTTAGAGTAGGTCCCAAGTATTTTATTGATTGTTTTGAGGACACGACAGGTTAGAGTAGACGCGAAGTATTATATTGCTTGTTGAGAGGACACACATGGGTCAGAGTAGGTCCCAAGTATTATATTACTTGTTGTGATAACACACATGGGTCAGAGTCGGTCCCAATTGTTATATTACTTGTTGAGAGGACACACATGGGTCAGAATAGGTCCCAAGTATTATATTGCTTGTTGAGAGGACACACATGGGTCAGAGTAGGTCCTTGGTGTATAACTTACTTACGACCTGGTCATGTATTGCTTACTTAGGAAGTTAATCCTGTATTGCTTACTAATGAAGTTAATCCTCTATTACTTACTAATGAAGTTAATCCTGTATTATTTACTAAGGAAGTTAATCCCGTATTACTTGCTAATGAACTTAATACTCTATTACTTACTAATGAACTTAATCCTGTATTTTTTACTTAGGAAGTTAATCCTGTATTACTTACTTAGGAAGTTAATCCTGTATTACATACTTAGGAAGTTAATCCTGTATTACTTACTTAGGAAGTTAATCCTGTATAACTTACTGAGGAAGTTCATCCTGTATTACTTACTTAGGAAGTTAATCCTGTATTACTTACTGAGGAAGTTAATCCTGTATAACTTACTTAGGAAGTTAATCCTGTATAACTTACTGAGGAAGTTTATCCTGTATTACTTACTTAGGAAGTTAATCCTGTATTACTTACTGAGGAAGTTAATCCTGTATTACTTACTTAGGAAGTTAATCCTGTATTACTTACTTAGGAAGTTAATCCTGTATTACTTACTGAGGAAGTTAATCCTGTATTACTTACTTAGGAAGTTAATCCTGTATTACTTACTTAGGAGGTTAATCCTGTATTACTTACTCATGAAGTTAATCCTGTATTACTTACTTAGGAAGTTTATCCTGTATTACTTACTTAGGAAGTTTATCCTGTATTACTAGTGTAAAGGTTGGATATTTTGCCCAGGTTCCTTACACCAGTTACTTAAATTTCTTGCCAATTTACTAATTTTAGAATAGGGTTTTGGGGTTCACGGCACTGTTCTCATGGGTCCCATAGCAACAGCTCTTAGCCAATAGCCTGGGGCTATTTGGTTCACATGACAAGGGCCAGTGCCACCGTGGGACCCCTAAACTCTTTCTGCCTGCACTGCCTGGAAACCAACAACGCCAGATAGCCCTGTTCATTTTGTTTTAGGTAAGAGACCCAGTTTCTCTTTCTGGCAACTTTAGGTCTATTGTATGCAATTATGGTATGGTCCAGTGCATAGTTATAACATTTACAGGACTAAGATTGTGCTGCATTTAATTTCATAAAGTCAAGCAAAATTCAAAACAAGTGTTTGGCCATTGTCCAAGTCATTCTTGCTGTGCCAAACTGGCAAACGTCGCTCATCTTTGACTGTCCAAAGTAGCACTCAATGGCAATAATGAATGACATTTATTTGTTGCATTATTTTCTCGTTTGAAAATAGCTTTAGTAACATACCTTTTGTGTTTGGAAGTAATTTTGCTAATTAGATCGCCCAGTCAAAATTGAAAACTAGCTCATTGCTTAATTCAAAGTTACAGTTATTCCAAATTCTTTCGTCTGATAAATGCACTTGTTGCTGACAGCAACAGAACTCTGTTGCAAGTTTATTTTAAATTAAAAAGTGGCTATCACTGGTCATTGTTTCCCAAGCCATGTGCTCAGTTAAAAAACCCTGGTGCCATCTGGAAGTAATTAGTGGCTGACCCCTCACTGACAACTCTTGACCTGTGCGCTGGGCAGCACACATTATCTTCGGCTATCCTCGGCACTCTCCGGCTCTCCTCCGGTTCCATCACAAAATGTAAACAAGGCATGGCTCCGTCGTCTGCTTCATGTTTACCTTCACACAGTTTGGCCTACTATACAGTAATGTCATCCTATCCTAATGTCTGTGAAGTAATAGTAACACGTACCAGTGAATATATATGGCATAAATTATCAGGCAATTCGAGATTAGTGTTCATTCCAAGCTTTGGCTATTTCCGGCAGATGGTAACTTTCTTGTTCTCTTGGCGTCTTGCGGTACGCAATCCTACATGATGACAACAGGCTTAACATTACCAACTTCTAAATATGAAAATACCCAGTTTATTAAATACCAAGCCTGTCCTATTAAATATGTAGTATTTCTACATTGTCGGATGGGTGTTATAAAGTAATTTCACTGCGTTTTCCCACTTGATGTGATAGTGAAGTCACCTTGTATTCAATAATAATATAATGTATTATATTATATGGCCAACAATTTGCCTGCAATTTGAGTAATATATATTACGTAATATCCATTTATTACATTCCTTTTTAATACATTTGCTTAAATTGGGCATTCATTCTGTGTAGCCTCACGTGGCTTACCTACGGGGTGTATTGACCTACTGTTCCAGCTAGCCCCATATGGACTGGTACGATCATCCGACAGGCAGTCATATCCCACCCCTCTTAGCCACCTTTCTAGTACAGGCCAGGTGTCCTGTCGTGGTTATTAGTATTGCGTGTTTAAACCGGTTTTATATACATGCACATCATATTCCAAATGCGCTGGGATAAATATTCCCTCATTTTGGGTTTAAATGTATGTTTCCAAAATCTCCATTGGCCGCTGTTAAAGTGACTTTCACCTCACGTCAGGTGGGATCTTATATGTATCCTATATGGTAGAAAGGATGTGATGATTATATTGGGGGATTATTAGTTAATCTCATTTCTGTGAACAATCATTGTCGTTGTGTATTTATTTATGCACATATGCTTTTTTGTATCAATAATGCGTTTGCATAGTCCTTAACAGTATCGTTTTCTCCTATAAGTATTATCATCACATCCCGAATATCAGTTGGATTGTTGTTGATTCTTTTAAATATATTTCATAAGCTCTTTCTGCCTGCACTGCCTGGACACCAACATCGCCAGATAGCCCTGCTCATTTTGTTTTAGGTGTTTTCCAGACTGTGCGGCCAGGACTTGCACCCTGTAACTTTCTGACACTTTATTACACTATTATTACTGTCTTTTTATGTTGTGTCATATTTGACTGGAGTATTTCGCGCAGTAAGCACACTCGCCCACCCCTTATCCGTAAGACGAAATTGTTACAAAACTGTGGTGATTTCACAGGTCTTACACTTATCCTGTATTACTTACTAAGGAAGTTAATCCTGTATTACTTACTAAGGAAGTTAATCCTGTTGTACTTACTAAGGAAGTTAATCCTGTATTACTTACTCAGGAAGTTAATCCTGTATTACTTACTTAGGAAGTTAATCCTGTATTACTTACTAAGGAAGTGAATCCTGTATTACTTACTAAGGAAGTTAATCCTGTATTACTTACTTATGAACTTAATCCTGTATAACTTACTTAGGAAGTTAATCCTGTATTACTTACTAAGGAAGTTAATCCTGTATTACTTACTTAGGATCTTAATCCTGCATTACTTACTCAGGAAGTTCATCCTGCATTACTTACTCAGGAAGTTAATCCTGTATTACTTACTCAGGAAGTTAATCCTGTATTACTTACTCAGGAAGTTAATCCTGTATTACTTACTAAGGAAGTTAATCCTGTATTACTTACTCAGGAAGTTAATCCTGAATTACTTACTTAGGAAGTTAATCCTGTATTACTTACTAAGGAAGTTAATCCTGTATTACTTACTAATTAAGTTAATCCTGTATTACTTACTAATTAAGTTAATCCTGTATTACTTACTAATTAGGTTAATCCTGTATTACTTACTAAGGAAGTTAATCCTGTATTTCTTACTCAGGAAGTTAATCCTGAATTACTTACTTAGGAAGTAAATCCTGCATTACTTACTAAGGAAGTAAATCCTGTATCACTTACTAATTAAGTTAATCCTGTATTACTTACTAAGGAAGTTAATCCTGTATTACTTACTTAGGAAGTTTATCCTGTATTACTTACTCAGGAAGTAAATCCTGTATTGCTTACTAATGAACTTAATCCTGTATTACTTACTAATGAACTTAATCCTGTATTACTTACTAATGAACTTAATCCTGTTTTACTTACTAATTAAGTTAATCCTGTATTACTTACTAATTAAGTTAATCCTGTATCACTTACTGATGAACTTAATCCTGTTTTACTTACTAATTAAGTTAATCCTGTATTACTTACTAATTAAGTTAATCCTGTATTACTTACTAATGAACTTAATCCTGTTTTACTTACTAATTAAGTTAATCCTGTATTACTTACTAAGGAAGTTAATCCTGTATTTCTTACTCAGGAAGTTAATCCTGAATTACTTACTTAGGAAGTAAATCCTGTATTACTTACTAAGGAAGTAAATCCTGTATCACTTACTAATTAAGTTAATCCTGTATTACTTACTAAGGAAGTTAATCCTGTATTACTTACTTAGGAAGTTTATCCTGTATTACTTACTAAGGAAGTAAATCCTGTATTACTCACTTAGAAAGTAAATCCTGCATTACTTACTTAGGAAGTTAATCCTGTATTACATACTAAGGAAGTTAATCCTGTTTTGCTTACTAATTAAGTTAATCCTGTATTACTTACTGAGGAAGTTAATCCTGTATTACTTACTAATGACGTTAATCCTGTGTTACTTATTCAGGAATTAAGTCCTGTATTACTTACTTAGGAAGTTAATCCTGTATTACTTACTAAGGAATTAAATCCTGTATTACTTACTTAGGAAGTTAATCCTGCATTACTTAATAAGGAAGTAAATCCTGTGTTACTTACTTAGGAAGTTAATCCTGTATTACTTACTAATGACGTTAATCCTGTATTACTTATTCAGGAAGTTAATCCTGTATTACTTACTAAAAGTTAATCCTGTATTACTTACTAAGGGAGTTAATCCTGTATTACTCACTTAGAAAGTAAATCCTGCATTACTTACTTAGGAAGTTAATCCTGTATTACATACTAAGGAAGTTAATCCTGTTGTACTTACTAAGGAAGTTAATCCTGTATTACTTACTAAGGAACTTAATCCTGTATTACTTACTAAGGAACTTAATCCTGTTGTACTTACTTAGGAAGTTTATCCTGTATTACTTACTTAGGAATTAAATCCTGTATTACTTACTAAGGAAGTTAATCCTGATGTACTTACTCAGGAAGTTTATCCTGTATTTCTTACTAATTAAGTTAATCCTGTATTACTTACTTAGGAAGTTTATCCTGTATTACTTACTTTGGAAGTTTATCCTGTATTACTAACTGAGGAAGTTTATCCTGTATTACTTACTTAGGAAGTTAATCCTGTATTACTTACTAATGACGTTAATCCTGTATTACTTATTCAGGAATTAAAACCTGTATTACTTACTTAGGAAGTTAATTCTGTATTACTTACTCAGGAATTAAATCCTGTATTACTTACTAAGGAAGTTAATCCTGTATTACTTACTCAGGAAGTTAATCCTGTATTACTTACTTAGGACGTTAATCCTGTATTACTTTCTAAGGAAGTAAATCCTGTGTTACTTACTAATTAAGTTAATCCTGTATTACTTACTAAGGAAGTTAATCCTGTATTACTTACTTAGGAAGTTTATCCTGTATAACTTACTAAGGAAGTAAATCCTGTATTGCTTACTAATGAACTTAATCCTGTATTACTTACTAATGAACTTAATCCTGTATTACTTACTAATGAACTTAATCCTGTATTACTTACTAATTACGTTAATCCTGTATTACTTATTTAGGAAGTTAATCCTGTATTACTTACTAATGACGTTAATCCTGTATTACTTATTTAGGAATTAAATCCTGTATTACCTACTTAGGAAGTTAATCCTGTATTACTTACTAAGGAATTAAATCCTGTATTACTTACTTAGGAAGTTAATCCTGCATTACTTAATAAGGAAGTAAATCCTGTATTACTTACTTAGGAAGTTAATCCTGTATTACTTACTAAGGAAGTTAATCCTGTATTACTTATTCAGGAATTAAATCCTGTATTACTTACTCAGGAAGTTAATCCTGTATTACTTACAAAGGAATTAAATCCTGTATTACTTACTCAGGAAGTTAATCCTGTATTACTTACTCAGGAAGTTAATCCTGTATGACTTACTTAGGAAGTTAATCCTGTATTACTTACTAAGGAAGTAAATCCTGTATTACTTAATCGGGGAGTTCATCCTGTACTACTTACTTAGGAAGTTAATCCTGTATTACTTACTAATGACGTTAATCCTGTATTACTTATTCAGGAATTAAATCCTGTATTACTTACTTAGGAAGTTAATCCTGTATTACTTACTCAGGAATTAAATCCTGTATTACTTACTCAGGAAGTTAATCCTGTATTACTTACTCAGGAAGTTAATCCTGTATTACTTACTTAGGAAGTTCATCCTGTATTACTTACTAAGGAAGTAAATCCTGAATTACTTACTCAGGAAGTTAATCCTGCATTACTTAATAATTAAGTTAATCCTGTATTACTTACTAAGGAAGTAAATCCTGTATTACTTACTCAGGAAGTAAATCCTGTATTACTTACTAATTAAGTTAATCCTGTATTACTTACTAAGGAAGTTAATCCTGTATTACCTACTTAGGAAGTTTATCCTGTATTACTTACTAAGGAAGTAAATCCTGTATTACTTACTAATGAACTTAATCCTTTATTACTTACTAATGAACTTAATCCAGCATTACTTACTAATGAACTTAATCCTGTATTACTTACTAATTAAGTTAATCCTTTATTACTTACTTAGGAAGTAAATCCTGTATTACTTACTTAAGTACTTGTGGATTCATGTGTTATTGTTTCAGGTGAAGTCGGGGATTGGAAGAACTGGATAACAGTTGCTAAAAACGAAAGATTCGATGACGTCATAGACCGAAAGTTTGAAGGAACAGGCATTGTGTTCACATATGAATAGCTGACGGATTATAAGTATATGTTGACGAGAATACTGAATGCCAAATATCATTAATATTCGTCATTCCAATATCTATGAATATTCACTAAGTATGTATTTTGCACGACCACCAGAGCTTACCAGATGAAACAGTACCAAGCTAGGCGTACCTGATGCTGACGTGGCAATCGGGCCTACCTTTGTACGGATGAAAGATTTCCGCTTGCGGATTCGGGAACCAATTTCCCACCAATTACGTTCTGTAAATGGTGCCGTCGGGTGCAGCATGCGGAGTTAGCTGTCGCCCTTTTGAAACTGTCCGGCATATCCTACCGTACAGTAACCCCTGACGCGGGGGCACTAAATAGATTCGACGTCATGACGTTCATTAATTGCTTCAGGCCAACGTCGGTGCGAGTACGACCACGCAACTGCCCCCCACCCCCCCAATGGAACTCTCAAAGGCAGTAATAGACGTGACAAAACGCCTCGTACTTCCGCTACAATGCAGTTTAATGGAGACGAGAGCGGCGCAAATACGCCTATTTTACCCTCCCCAAAATTCGACCTTTTGGGACGAGTTTCAGTGGACCGGGACGCACATTCAATTCAAATAGTTAACGATCAGTCCGGTCGAATCGGGAACCCAAATATATATTTTAAAAAAAGAAATTAAAAAAAAGACAAAACGATAGTCAAAATAGTCTAATTGCGACTAAAGTAATCGTTCAAGGGGAGTTACATGTAACTGGAGGGGGACCATCAAGATGTTACAATCCACTTATATTGTTCCGTTAATTGTTTTAGAAATTATTATAGTAGAAATGTTGTTATTACATACGAAGTGATATTCGTACTAGAAGTGTTTGTTACAGGTAACTTGCTTTTATTTGTATTGGAAGTGTCGTGTTACTTAGGAATTGATAATATTTGTAGTAAGAAGTGTTACTACATATGAATTGATTTTAGTTGAACTAGAAGAGTTTCGTTACAGGTGAATTGATATATTTGTATTAGAAGTGTTTATTTACTGTTATTATAGAAGTAGTATCTATAGTTGTAATTACATTAAGCATAACATATGTGTCGATGTGGTGATGTAACATCTCGTTATGAGAATGATATCAATGTTACAATAAAATTAATTACCTCCTTGATGGGGCGGTCGGGTAGCCTAGTGGTTAAAGCGTTCGCTCGTCACGCCGAAGACCCGGGTTCGATTCCCGACATGGGTACAATGTGTGAAGCCCATTTCTGGTGACCCCCGCCGTGATATTGCTGGAATATTGCTAAAAGCGGCGTAAAACCATACTCACTCACTCACCTTCTTGATTAGTCGTTTCGGTTTAGGCATTGAACATGTTAACGTTGTTGTTAAACCGATGTGGAGATATTAATGTTCCACATATATTGAAATTGTATGTATAATGTATATTGAACAATGACTCTGTGAATCTGTCCACGGTCAACCAGCCTATGGTCACGATGGTTATCAACCAAAGCATTCCAGATTCAAAAAGTGAACCAACCTGGATCCCCACGACTTGAGAGTGTGAGGACACTCTTCGCCAGAACGGGGGTCGTATTATAGGCATGAAAGAGCAATACATATTTAGATAATAAAAGGGAAGTTAAATCAATAAGTCATAAAGTGAAGAAGGAATGTATACCAGATATTATAACAAGAATTGGCACCATCTTAGAGTGTGAGGACACTCTTCGCCAGAACGGGGGTCGTATTATAGGCATGAAAGAGCAATACATATTTAGATAATAAAAGGGAAGTTAAATCAATAAGTCATAAAGTTAAGAAGGAATGTATACCAGATATTATATCAAGAATTGGCACCATCTTAGAGTGTGGGGACACACTCTTCGCCAGAGTGAGTGAGTGAGTGAGTATGGTTTTACGCCGCTTTTAGCAATATTCCAGCAATATCACGGCGGGGGACACCAGAAATGGGCTTCACACATTGTACCCACCTCTTCGCCAGAACGGGGGGGGGGCGCATTATAGGCATAAAAGTACAGAAATTAACAACTAGTTAAAGTAATTAACAATTCATTAAGACACCTACGTGATTGTGTAAAAAGGTCAAGAAGAGGAGTTGAAACCAGTAAGATATGAACATAACACATTGATATATATATAGGAGACGGGCAACTCTGATAGTTGAAGACTACGGGGAACATACTTGGACACGAATAACCAGGGGTGAGGGTATAGTAGGTGGAGGGTTATACATTAATGAAAGACGATTAACCAGATGGGAAGTAGATAATAAATGGAACGGAGATGTTAGGGACCTGAGAGATATATGGTATTCGGGGGGGGGGGGGGGGAATAGTTCGAATTCCAAAAGGGTGAGAAACATCATAACAAGTCCGAATATGGTGCTGGTTATTAGATAAGAGTGGGTTAGAATGATCTAGTGTAGGGGGAAAAGGTGGTTGACCAATGATAGATGGAAAAATGAGTAGAGCTGTGACGTAGGTACCGGTTTAAAAAGGGGCAAACGCCCCAAATCGAGAAAACGGCTAGGAGCTGCTGGGGAGACTACATCTGGACTGGTGCCGGTCGGCTTGTTGTCACGATCTTTCGAACCAGAAACCAAGCTTAGGCACCAGCATTTCGACTGAGACTGGAACTTTGCGGCCGAAGTCTCGTATTTAAGTGACAACTAGAGTGGGTTGACCGGCAACACAAAGTTGGAATAAAAGCTGTTAAACGAAGATCACTCTTTGTGCTTGTTGGAGGAACTACGGTAATAGGTCCAAGGTCCTCGAGTGCTGACATTGTACCTCTCGCCCATCCCAGACAGTCAGCACCAAGAACGAGGGGATTACCGTAGTTTAGAAGAAGAGGTACGCGACTTGCTATAACCTGGTAATTAACAACAATTACCGCCGGTCTTTAAGGCGCTAAAATTACCTTGGACACAAGTATGTACAACAAAACATGTTCGTGAATCATTTTGTATTTTTTAATCTCGCTTTATATATGTCCAAAAACTGTCTGTGCCATGCGACGATTTCATTGCTAATAAATTAATCTTTATGGTCTCTCCTGGTGTCATTATTTCCGTGTTATGTTTGACTTCCGCCGTTCCCTTGTAGATTCAATGTTTGGCCCGTACAATGTGGTGAGGTGAAATGGGGTTTAACGTCGCGTCCAACATTATTGCACTTATATAGCGACGTGCATGCACGTGTGTGTCTAGCTGCTTGTACTAGTCCGGACTGATGCCGAGATTATAGTGCTAGCACACTGAGATACCATGACGCAGTTTAACATTAATACCCACTCAGACACAGTGTACTCACTCCGAGCTTGTTTTAGCCGAGCGCCATACAGGGTAACAACAAGTACCATCTTTTAACGTCTTTTGGTATGACGCGGCCAGGAATTGAACCCCTTCCGCTCTCCGGGCAGATGCTCTACCATTAGACCACGTCTGACCCGTATAAACAATCGTCACGGAGGACTAAGGTGTTTCACCAACAATCCTAGTGGCCCAAGGCCAGTTCGCTTGCCCCTCCCCCCGGGGGGTTATTATGTGTGAATCCCATTTCGGTTGTCCTTCACCTTGGTGTTTCCGGTATACTTCTAAAACCAAACTCACTCACTCATTTGAACAGTATTTCAGTCACCTTATAAACCTATTCATTGGGATCTCTATTGAGTAAGATACTTCTTTCTATAGGCATTCAAACCTATTGTGAGGTTTTACTTTCCAGTCGGGCTAAATCTCATAAACAGGGACGTTGTAATGTTTGGATTTTATATAATATCCCAGGGATTTTATAGGATATTCAAGTCATATTTGCTATAAAATCTCAGGGATTTTATTAATGTAACTTCCGTTCAGATTGTAACATGTAATGACATGTAAAATCAAATGACAAATGTTTTGGTTATATTCCAGAGGATCGAACTTGCAACCTTCATATCTGTAGCCCAGTGAGTGTAGCACGAGGCTACAGATAAGCCTCCCTGGTTTTTAGAATGTCCTTTTCAAGATCCGTACGCCAGCAACAGATATTTTACGAGCGTTTCCTAAGGTTCATGGAAAGTATGTTCTAAAGATAAAAATGTTGATAAAATGTTGTTTTAAGTTTCTTTTTTCGGTTTATAAGTATGGAAAAACACTTTCCCTCGGTTTTGGTAGACAGAGCATGCCCTGGGGGTCGGGAAAAACTCTCCCCAGGGCATGCTCTGTCTACCAAAACCTCGTGAGCGTGTTTTCTCCAATACGTAATGTGTCAGACCCACGAGGACCATCTCCCCGAGGCAAGGGAGTTAACTGACTATAAAAGTCCAGTTTCCACCGTTGCCGACCTAAGCTGGAAGTTCAAGGCTCGAAAGTCGCGCCACCAGTGATGTCCCTTCTATGTTCCTCCTACTGACCAGTCAGATTCCATCTCTCATATCACAGACGGGCGGCGCCCAGTCAAGACGATCTGCTCGATAATCAAGATCTATATTGTTACAAAACGGGTCTTATCCCGCGACGTTCATCAAATCGCGTGAGCACCTTGATTAAAAGCATGAAAGAATTTACAAAATTTCTGTCGACGCCCAGTTGGTGGAACACATGCTTTGCAAATCCTGCAGTCGACCGAAATCTGCACGTTGAAATTCCTGTTGTAAACGGACCGGATGTCTCGTTCGTTATGCGATTTTGATTGGACTATGCATAAACTCGTTAGTCTTGACATATATGTAACTCGATAATTGCAGCCAAGTTCGAGGGCGGAGACTGGACTTTATAGTCAGTTAACTCCCTTGCCTCGGGAAGATGTGGAAACTGGACTTTAAGATGACGAGGACAGGTATGGTGCTGACAAACCAATGGTTTTAACAAGCATGAAATACACATTTCCCCCGCCAATATGACATGTCCGGTTGTGTGCAATGGTATAAGCCCTCCGGAAACGAGCACTACCGCCACTTTAACTCTAAGTCAAAGTCGTTTCAATACATTTTTCAAAAATCACAAACTTTTAAAATGCACCAGTTCACCATTATACCTATCTATGTGCCAAGTTTGATTAAGATAACTCTCATGGTTATTTAGTTTGTTTGTTTGTTGTTTTTTGTTGTTTAACGCCACCCTCAGCAATATTCCAGCTATATGACGGCGGTCTGTAAATAATCGAGTCTGGACCAGACAATCCAGTGATTGACATCATAAGCATCGATCCACGCAATTGGGATACAAGGACATGTATCAACCAAGTCAGCGAGCCTGACCACCCGATCCCGTTAGTCGCCTCTTCCGACAAACACAGTCCCCTCTTACGGCAAGCATGGGTTGCTGAAGACCTATTTTACCCCAGATCTTCACGGATCGGTTATTTTGTTCTGCTCCGGAAACGGACAGCACCCATTCCTATATCCCCTTCCACCGTGGCGGGGGATAATAATGCGACACCTGGGATTTCAAAAGAAAATCAGACTTGATTCTGCTGAAAGTGGACGATGTTTAATTATTTTAAAAGTAGCATTTATGTGTATTGACTTCTATCATAGAAGGTTATGCTTTCATCATTACATGCATTGGCTAGATTTTCTATACAGTGCACCTGATCAAATATGTGAATGGTTATAGCTCACATTCGCTGGACTATTTTTATTCTAATCCATAAAATAAGCGGTCTGCCAAAAATTATAAAGTCCGATGATGTTATATAATATGTTCTAGTTCACCATCGCTTTGTGGCGCCAATCGGCCGAAACAAAAAAGATTGTTGTGGTTTTACTGCGAGGAATACTGTGATAAATGACTGCAAAACTCCATTCTGTCGACATTATTTTTATCATCACATTTTACGCGTGCCAGTTACAGAGATTTCTTGAACAACAGAACACGAAAAGGTTGCCATGGGAACTCCGACTCTGCACGAGCTGTTGGCAAGCCTTGCTGGTACTGCAACCGAACATCCTGGCTGGAAGAAGCCGGTCGTACAGCCCAACACACACATCCTGAAAAAAACAACATGGTTTCATAATAATAGTACATTTGTATAGCGATGTTTCCAAGCTGAACACCATACCGCGGGTTTTATTCTCAGCTCCCTGGTGAGTATATGAGGCGGTCGAAGGTTAACAGCTACATTCCAACTCATCCTACTGGGTATCCATTCACTGTTGGGTGAGGCATAGAACAGAGGCATATTATGAACAGGTCATTTACCCAAGGAGGCTCCACATGTATTATATGTGCTTCAGTGTGGGGCAGTACCGAAGGCCTTGAATCTCACCGGAGCCAAGCAGCCAGACACGGTCACCCACCCAGTGACACTCCGCAACCAACGTGGATTAACTACACCTCAATTGTAACATGTGCGCTGTGCATAGGACCACGTGCCACCACTGGTTTGGGATATATTAATGTATTTTCGACCCGTGAAGATCCAGGGTAGAATAGATCTTCAGCAACCCATGCTTGCCATAAAAGGCGACTATGCTTGTCGTAAGGGGCGAGTAACGGGATCGGGTGGTCAGGCATCCAGCGATACGCCCATTTATTCCACGTCACCGTCAGGCGCGCCTATCTTGGTGTAGACAACATCTGAAGTTCAGAAGACAAGACTGGGACAGTATACTGTTCACAGATGAGTCCAGGTTTCATCTGGACAGCTCTGGTGATCGTGCAAGGGTTTACGCGCGTCCAGGAGAACGTTTTAGTGACGCTTGCGTTACTCCACGTCGTCAGTTTGGGGGTGCAAGTGTAATTGTGTGGGCTGGAACACAACTCAACATTGTAAATGGCAATTTGAATGGCGTTCGCTACAGGGACGAAATCATTCGAGATCATGTTCTACCTTTTGTGCAAATGCAGGGACGTAACGTCACGTTGCAGCAGGATATTTACGCCCACATTGTGTACGTGTTGTAACAGAATTTGTGAGGCCGCATAACATTGCGGTACTGCCATGGCCGGATGTTTCCTCAGACCTTCACCCCTAAAAACGTCTTAGATGAGATGGATCGACGCCTACGACAGGACCAGAACCAGCCGGCAACGCCAGCTTAGTTTGGCCAATCATGTGTTGAGATTTGAAACAACAACACCGAGGTGTTTCAATGCGCAGCCGCTACCGTGCTTTATCAAGGCAAATGGTGGTGACACCCGACATTGGCATTTGTAATTGAGTTCAGTTGTTACACAACCAATCTTTTAGGGCGTATCGCTCTGTCTCCTTTTACCAGGTATGGGTTTTGTCAATGAATGTATTATGATAAAACATTGATGAGACGAATGACCAACTATTTTGTTGTTGTTTTTCAATAACATAACATTAGATCACTTTAATGGAGCACAGTATCTTTCCGTTAGAACATGTTACCTCGGGAGACATACAGAGCTTGCGAACATGATTCTTGGAGCGAGGTAAGCAGTAATGGTAAATGTCAAACTTACCTTACCAGGGGGACACACAGTGGTCTGAAGGCGACAACTTTCACTCACAGAAGCGCAAGCAAGACAATTCAGAGCAGCTGGAAATATAGACATAAATTATGCACATGAGAAGTATGTTTAAATGTGGACCAGGCAATCCAGTGATTGACATCTTGAGCATCAATTTACACATGGAATACGATGACATGCATCAATCAAATCAGCGAGTCTGACCACCCCGTCCCGTCAGTCGCCGCTTACGACAAGCATGGATTGCTGAAGATCAAACCCAACCGGATCTAGTGGTAGAACGTCCACCTGGATAGTGGAAGGTCCAGGGTTCGATCCCCGTCCGCGTCATACCAAAAGACGTTAAAAGATGGTACCTGTTGTTACCCTGTCTGGCGCTCGGCATTAAGGGGCTAAAACAAGGACTGGTCGGCTCGGAGTCATTATGGAGTCATGTTAAACTGCGGCATGGTATCTCAGTGTGCCAGCACTATGAAGTACAAGCAGCCACGCACACACAAACGTACATGCACGTCGCTATATAAGTGCAATAATCTTGGACGCGACGTTAAACCCAATCTCCCCTCACCTCTAATATACTATATGATAATTACCATTTAATATTGTATTATTTGAAGTTTACACGATAGACGGCTTTTCCATTGGAGTGAGTGAGTATGGTTTAACGCCGCTTTTAGCAATATTCCAGCAATATCACGGCAGGGGACACCAGAAATAGGCTTAACACATTGTACCCATGTCGGGAATCGAACCCGGGTCTTTGGCGTGACGAGCGAACGCTTTAACCACTAGGCTACCCGACCGCCCTTTTCCATTGGAAGAGAGACCGATCACATGACAGCGAAACTGACGTATGAACGACACAATTTGACGTTTATACGTTTCTTACGGGACTGTGTTCTTGTCATGACGTACATACTGAGGAACTACTTTAACATTCCTGGTCCGCCTCCGTGGTCTAGTGGTAGAGCGTCCGCCTGGAGAGCGGAAGGTCCGGGGTTCGATCCCCGGCCGCGTCATACCAAAAGACGTTAAAAGATGGTACTTGTTGTTACCCTGTCTGGCGTTCGACATTAAGGGGCTAAAACAAGGACTGGTCGGCTCGGAGTCAGTATACTGTGTCTGAGTGGGGTATTCATGTTCAACTGCGGCATGGTATCTCAGTGAGCTAGCACTATAAATCGGCATCAGTCCGGACTAGTACAAGCAGTCACACACACACACGTGCATGCACGTCGCTATATAAGTGCAATAATCTTGGACGCGACGTTGAACCCCATTTCACCTCACCTCACCTCACCTCACCTCACCTCACCTCACCTCACCTCACCTCACCTCACCTCACCTCAACATTCCTGGGGAAAACCGTGGGAACCCCAGCACGAATAAATACAGAAGCATTGTTTCTCATCATTTGGAGCCATTCATCTGGAACTCAGCGTGTTAGCATACATTGAGAAGCGTCAGAGAGTTTGGCTGCATGATCGTTCACGAATATCCTCGCCACGACCCATCCTTCTGAACAAAACGGAGAAGTGCACATCCAATATCGTAGTATCGACTCGATCCGCGTCTAGACTGACAGTGACAGTCTACAGCAATCTATGAATTTACCTTAGCATTTATTTGACACATCTTTATAGTCACCTTTCAATGATCGGCCAATTAATCAGTGATGATCAACACATGTAACCGCCACAACTTCACTAACAACTTCGGAAATCTCTCCCGTCATGTTGAATGGCTGTCAGTGTAAACATGAAGTCACTCGTATGAAGCGCTACATCCCTCGAGGTATACAATAGTGATATAAAAAATCATAAGAATTGACTTTGACTTATTCTTAAATATACTATCTATCATGCCATATCATATACCATTGAATTTGCCATCTCATATCCCATTTAATATATCATTTAATAAACCACATAATATACCATATCTATAATATTAAAGAGATCATCTAATATACCATTTGATATAATATCTAATCTACCATTTAATTTACCATCTCATAAAGTATTTAACGTACCATTTAATATGACATCTAATATACCGTTTAATATGCCATCTAATACACCATTTAATATATCATCTTATATACCATCTAATATACTAGATGATATACCATTTAAAGGAGACAATCTGAATCAATCTAAAATACTATCATTATGTAGACATGTGTTAGCGTTACAAAGCCTTTCAACACACTCTCCGCCAACACCCGGTATTAACTCACTCACTCACTCCACAGGATAAAACGTTTCCGTTAATTCATGACATCTTTCTGGTTTTCATGTAAAATCCCCGGTAAGTTAGCAAGCAATAGAAAAGTTAAATACTTACTTCCAGTATGTAAACTACATACAAACACAAACACAAGCGTGAGTCCATTGTTCATCACTGGGTTTTTACAGGCAGCGACTTCAAAAAAGAACTGTGTCAATACGTGGTGTGCAGGACTGAATGACCTTGATCTGCGTGCGCAGATGTCAGCAGTGATGTTTTGGTGTCTGCTAACAACCTGGATCATTTAAACATGATCACGCCACAAGTGGAGGTGAGGTGAGGTGAAATGGGGTTTAACGTCGCGTCCAAGATTATAGCACTTATATAGCGACGTGCATGTACGTGTGTGTGTTCGTGTGGCTGCTTGTACTAGTCCGGACTGATGCCGATTTATAGTGCTAGCTCACTGAGATACCATGCCGCAGTTTAACATGAATACCCCACTCAGCCACAGTGTACTGACTCCGAGCCGACCAGTCCTTGTTTTAGCCCCTTAATGCTGAGCGCCAGACAGGGTGACAACAAGTTCCATCTTTTAACGTCTTTTGGTATGACGCGGCCGGGGATCGAGCCCCGGACTTTCCGCTCTCCAGGCGGACGCTCTTCCACTAGTCCCTATGGCGGGTATCCTATGACGTATATCCCTATGATGGTGATCACCGTCTGTCTAACTTCAGGAGAAAGTCCAACTGAAATTCCTTCGGAAACTAATGGCAGTTACATTAGTTACGAGCCGTGAAGATCCGGGGTAGAAAAGGTCTTCAGCAACCCATGCTTGCCGTAAAAGGCAACTATGCTTGTCGTAAAAGGCAGTTACATTAGTTACGACCTGTGAAGATCCGGGGTAGAAAAGGTCTTCAGCAACCCATGCTTGCCGTAAAAGGCGACTGTGCTTGTCGTAAAAGGCAGTTACATTAGTTACGACCCGTGGACATCTCGGGTAGAATAGGTCTTCAGCAACCCATGCTTGTCGTAAAAGGCAGTTACATTAGTTACGACCCGTGAAGATCCGGGGTAGAATAGGTCTTCAGCAACCCATGCTTGCCGTAAAAGGGAACTATGCTTGTCGTAAAAGGCAGTTACATTAGTTACGACCCGTGAAGATCCGGGGTAGAATAGGTCTTCAGCAACCCATGCTTGTTGTAAAAGGCGACTAACGGGATCGGGTGCTCAGGCTCGCTGACTTGGTTGATCGATGACCAATTGCGTGGATCGATGCTCATAATATCAATCACTGGATTGTCTGGTCTAGACTCGATTATTTACAGACCGCCGTCATATAGCTGGAATATTGCTGAGTGCGGCGCTAAACAACAAACCAACCAACATTAGTTACAGTGGTCGATTTGGCAGAACGGCGCTTCCATATATGAGGTAGGTAAGCGTAACATAAAGTTAAAAAAACAACATCCAAGCACTGAATTAATTTTTTGTCCGAATAGAAAACCTTGACTAACTTGACCAACATACACTAGTCTGACCTTGCGTGGTGTATATACAACATATCACATCTGTCAGTGTCGAAAAAGCAGGTGACCCTCATTGGTCGCTTCAACTATGTCGGAAAGTATGACAAGTATATTTCAACACAGTCTTCCCAGGGTTACTGGCGATTAACCTAGTACCTGTACCTCTGCCACAAACGAGCGTACTGTGATTATTCGTCACATCTTACATTCCATTTAAAACATTATATTTTTTATCGTCCTGAGGAGGCACGTGGTCACAAATCAGGAATCCAGAGTCCTTGGATGGGTGACCCCGTTTCGGCAGCTTGGCTCCTGATGTTTCTAGGGCTTCGGTCCTGTCCCACACTGAACCACATGTAACACATGGTGTCTCCTTGGGAGAGTGACTTCGTTCGAAATGTGACTCTCTTCACCCGGTAGTACATGGGTACCCGGTAGGATGAGATGGCAATGTGGTTGTTAACCTTGTGTGGTATACTCGCCAGGGAGCTGATAAATGTACATAGCACACTGATCCATTGACTGGGTAATAATAGCGCTTTGAGCATGCCCCTGTGCAGTGTTTAAAACTCAGCAGAGTAAACTGAGAGCCAGCACATTTCAAAAACTGCAGGTCCAGCCGAAACACTGTAGGTCCAATTATTCTAGCTGAAGCAAGGCGACATACTCTTGCAACATAGATTACAAAACCCATCCAGTTACCCAGAAGTTTTACTGCTGTCACTCCGGGGTGATAAATGAGCCTACACTTATCAAGGAAATTATCAGCGTGTAAAACATCTTTCCTATAGCTACTACATGTCATACATCATTTGAAAGATCTAATCCGATAGTTTATAAATATGAATGTTATGTTTATCACGTTATTCAAATAATACATTAATAACATTAATAAGTTCGTTTCAAAATAAACATTCATGCTAACACATTCACAAACGTCCAGTAAGCGAAAATGTATGGCGATTTTCGGCAATTTTAAGATTTTATAATAGAGCTATCAATTAACTAATTTCGTTTCTATTTTTATTGTTGAAGTCATCGGAAAATGATGATAAAAAGAATTTTAAGTACGATCTATCGTCACATTTTCCCCAATAATAACGGCTTTCCGCTCAGTGACATGAGAAAATACCTGGGAATACCTCCGTTCTCGAAGCTTTGAATAAATAACGCGTGCGAAAATTCGTTCTATGTTTAGTATCGTCAAAACCATCTGAACATCAATAATATTACAGTTACTTCGCCAGGAGTTTATTCGTAGTAGTAACATGCGATTTTATTGGATATAAATTGGTTCCTAATGGCGCATTTGTCGTAATCTAATATGAGGATCGTGATTTGTCAAAATCAAGCACATGACATAAAGCAGCCAATCAAATTACTCCGTGGACGCTCGGCTACGACCTGTGAATATAATTTTGCATTTAACATCGTTTCCAAGCCTTAAATTCGAGATGTCATTTGACTTACATAACACGATCGCACGAAAAGGTGGCATTACTAACTTAGGTATTAGTTTGGCATGTTTTAGAAATATGTTTGTTGATTTTGTTTATTAATCTATTTAATTTATTTTACGATTTACTTGAAATGTCTTTAACATGTTCGATGCGGACGTATTGTCGAAGCATTGACATTTTGAATAACATTGCAGGAAATATTTAATAATTTTTAATCTATTAATAACATATGACAAATTGAAATGAAATACGTAGTTTCTGGCTTTGTGAAAAATTACAGATTTAATGAATGAACGACATGACAGGTAGGTTCATGAACTATATATCATTTTGACGTGCCTACGGTGTGGTCGGTACACAGGCCTGCGATCTTGAAAGAGTTAACGCGTGGAGTACTTTGTAGCTGGACCTTGTGTCCCCAACTACCCATCTAAACCCACGTAGGTAGTATCCTCTCAATCTAAACCCATGTACGAAATATCCTCTAGCCCCATATCGGTAGTAAGCCTAACCCCATATAGGTAGTATCCTCTAGCCCCATATAGGGGCGGTCGGGTAGCCTAGTGGTTAAAGCGTTCGCTCGTCATGCCGAAATCCCGGGTTCGATTCCCGACATGGGTACAATGTGTGAAGCCCATTTCTGGTGTCCCCCGCCGTGATATTGGTGGAATATTGCTAAAAGCGGCGCAAAAACCTTACTCACTCACTCACTCACTCTAACCCCATATAGGTAGTATCCTCTAACCCCATATAGGTAGTATCCTCTAACCCCATATAGGTAGTATCCTCTAACCCCACATAGGTAGTACCCTCTAACCCCATATAGGTAGTATCCTCTCAACCCATATAGGTAGTATCATCTAACTCCATATAGGTAGTATCCTCTAACTCCATATAGGTAGTATCCTCTAACCCCACATAGGTAGTATCCTCTAACCCCATATAGGTAGTATCCTCTAACCCCACATAGGTAGTACCCTCTAACCCCATATAGGTAGTATCCTCTTACCCAACATAGGTAGTATCCTCTAACCCCATATAGTTAGTATCCTCTAACGCCACATAGGTAGTACCCTCTAACCCCATATAGGTAGTATCCTCTCAACCCATATAGGTAGTATCCTCTAACCCCATATAGGTAGTATCCTCTATCCCCATGTGGTAGTATCCTCTAACCCCATATAGGTAGTATCCTCTAACAATATATAGGTAGTATCCTCTAACCCCATATAGGTAGTATCCTCTCAACCCATATAGGTAGTATCATCTAACTCCATATAGGTAGTATCCTCTAACTCCATATAGGTAGTATCCTCTAACCCCACATAGGTAGTACCATCTTACTCCATATAGGTAGTATCCTCTAACCCCATATAGGTATTATCCTCTAACCCCATATAGGTAGTATCCTCTAACCCAACATAGGTAGTATCCTCTAACCCCATATAGTTAGTATCCTCTAACGCCACATAGGTAGTACCCTCTAACCCCATATAGGTAGTATCCTCTCAATCCATATAGGTAGTATCCTCTAACCCCATATAGGTAGTATCCTCTATCCCCATGTGGTAGTATCCTCTAACCCCATATAGGTAGTATCCTCTAACAATATATAGGTAGTATCCTCTAACCCCATATAGGTAGTATCCTCTAACTCTATATAGGTAGTATCCTCTAACCCCATATAGGTAGTACCCTCTCAACCCATATAGGTAGTATCCTCTAACTCCATATAGGTAGTATCCTCTCAACCCATATAGGTAGTATGCTCTAACCCCATATAGGTAGTGTCCATAAACTCCATATAGGTAGTATCCTCTAACCCCATATAGGTAGTACCCTCTAACCCCATATAGGTTGTATCCTCTCAACCCATATAGGTAGTATCCTCTAACCCCATATAGGTAGTATCCTCTATCCCTATGTAGTAGTATCCTCTAACCCCATATAGGTAGTATCCTCTAACCCCATATAAGTAGTATTCTCTAACCCCATATAGGTAGTATCCTCTAACCCCATATAGGTAGTATCCTCTAACCCCATATAGGTAGTATTCTCTAACCCCATATAGGTAGTTTCCTCTAACCCCATATAGGTAGTATCCTCTAACCCCATTTAGGTAGTACCATCTGTAACAATCAAATATTTTAAAATATGTACAGCGTTTCGGGATATTATAACAAATAAGTTCAAGTTGAAGAGGTTGACAAGCAACGAGTATTGATTTCCTTACAAATGTGTAGTGTACCCCTAAACAAGCTTGGAATACTTATTGATAGTGTGAGAGAGTGGGTTTGACGCCGCTTTGAATTCTGTTTCAGTTCACAGCACACGAAACAGTCTTAGTATGTAGGAAAGCTCAATAACGCAGGTCGTAGACGCTTAACTATCAAACCTTTTGTAAACATATCTGGGACTCGAACTCTTGACTGGCGTCGCCGTTTTATCTGTATGGACCCCCAACGCCAGCGCAGTTAACTGGGTGACTGTCTTAACGCAACAGTCAGCGTGAACCAGTATGACCAACGATGGGTCAAAGTGACATAAAAGTTCATGTACTTTCATATGTAGGTAATCTACACTGTGTAGGAACGTGATCAGGTAAGTAGCGAAGTCACGAGAGAAGGACATTTCAAGCGTCCATCATAACAAGTACTGATTAACATGGAAAGTCAGCAGTAAGTAAATATTCTCCTCAAATAAGCTTCATCCTTCTTCGCTATTGCAGTGTTTTTAATTAGTTGACACCATACGCGACGATGTCGTGAGAGGCGACTAACGGGATCGGGTGGTCAGGCTCGCTGACTTGGTTGGTGCATGTCATCAATCCCAATTGCGTGGATCGATGCTCATGATATCAATCACTGGATTGTCTGGTCCAGACTCGATTATTTACAAGCGGACGTCGTATAGCTGGAATATGGCTGAGTGCGGCGCTAAACAACAACCACCTAACCAACCAACCAACCGACCTCTCGGCTTAATACGTCAGTTGCACGGAACGTACGGGATTGAGGTACACTTGGATGAAACTAGGCAAAGCGAGATAAGTGTTACATCGACACTGGCTCACAGATTGAATCCTTCTTGCCAAGTACGTCCTCAAACAAATTACCATTTCAACTACTCTTTCAATACTGTAAGACGGACCCGTGAAGATCCGGGTTAGAATAGGTCTTCAGCAACCTATATGCTTGTGGTAAGAGGCGACTAACGGGATCGGGTGGTCAGGCTCGCTGACTTGGTTGATGCAGATCATCGTATCCAAGTTGCGTGGATCGATGCTCATGATATTAATCACTGAATTGTGTGGTCCAGACACGATTATTCACAGACTGCCGCCACACAGCTGTATAACAAAAATGTGTGTGTGTGTGTGTGTGTGTGTGTGTGTGTGTGTGTGTGTGTGTGTGTGTGTGTGTGTGTGTGTGTGCATGATGTCTAAACGTGGGTTTTAACTCTGACCTGCTGCGCTGTCTGAATGTGGGGTATAGCCTCTGACCTGCTGCGCTGTTTGAATGTGGGTTTAAACTCTTGAGGGAGACAATCTGGCATAATTAGTAGAAGAAGCAATCTGGCATAATTAGTGGGGGAAGCAATCTGGCATAATTACTGGGGGAAGCAATCTGGCATAATTACTGGGGGAAGCAATCTGGCATAATTACTGGGGGAAGCAATCTGGCATAATTAGTGGGGGAAGCAATCTGGTAAAATTAGGAAGGTAAGCAAACTGGTATAATTCGTAGGGGAAGCAATCTGGCATAGTTAGTGGCGGGGGGGAGCTATCTGGCATAATTAGTAGGGGAGGCAATCTGGCACAATTAGTAGGGGAAGCAATCTGGCATAATTACTGGGGGAACCAATCTGGTAAAATTAGTAGGGGAAGCAATCTGGCATAATTAGTAGGGGAAGCAATCTGGTAAAATTAGGAGGGGAAGCAATCAGGTAAAATTAGTTGGGGAAGCAATTTGGTATAACTAATATCCGATATCATATCAAGAAATTTAAATAACCGCAACTCAAGGTGCAAAAAAGTGTACACCCTTTGCCGCGGTATAGTAAGATTAAAGACACTTTCGTTATACACCACGTGATTGTTATCTCTATAATAACCTTGTCTCTCAGATCTGTGACTTGCATAAACTGTTCAGCCTTGGTGTGAGCGTGTCGGGCTGACAGATATAGCTGTAAGATATCCTCCCGTGCATCTAGGTTAAAGTTCCTCGCACAGCGTTGACCTGGACATGCTACCCACAAGACATTTTTTATATTATCCTATTATGTTATACATTTATATACCACACTTATCCAGTGGATAATCTTCTCGAATGCGGTTTATTTGTTCCCCGACCAGTGGATCCCTTTCAGTCCCAGTTATCATTATCAACTCCCAGGGGAGTATACAACCCATGGGCGCTAGAGGGTTTTTTACACCCACTTAAAATGTCGGGTACCCATGTCCTGCTGGGTAAACAGAGGCACATTTCAGCTCTGTCATTTGCTCAGGGTGGCACAACACGTTTTGACACCTGTGTTCCGGGTATTTGGACGTATTCGTGGTTCCATCGGAGGAGTGGGGTCTTTTGGAATGCACGGGGTGAATGTACTTTACACTAGGTGTTGCACTTACAACATTAATGTACACGTATTTAGTTTGTATGGGCTTCTGGGGTGATGTTGTGTTGATTTTCATGTACTTAAGGAAGTACTTTCTTATGTTAGAGATGTTGAATATTTTGATGTTTGTTATGCATGTAAAACATGTGAAAAAAAGGGAAAAGAAAAGTATCTTTATGTTGCGTTGCATGGGTTCGACTCGAACCAGTGTTGCGTGCATGTTGACATTCACGACGTCATTAATTAACAGTCAATTAGAGTTATGGTTCTTTGTGAGCAAGCGTGGCAACCGTACTTGCGTGGTGGGCATAATGCCGGTTTTCTTTGCGTTTGAAGGGGAAAATTTGTAAGTTACAGCTGATGTAAATCATTATTGATGATGACTCATTACAGTTAGCGTTCATTCATACATGTATGTAGCAGATAAATACGCCTTTTTCGGCGCTGTATGGACAGGAAGTTTATTTTATCATGCTTGGGTCTTCACTGCTTCAGACTTGAATAAACAAGAACCATTCAAGACCCCTTCGATTTGTTCCTTTACCTCGCCACTAGGGTAGTGACAACACTGTAAAGACCTGTAAACATTGCTGATTCAGACCGCTTGTCTACTCAGCCAAGACTGTACCAGTCCACGCCAGCAGCCCTTGAAACAAACAGGGCGAAACCGCATTATCGGTGGTTCGAGAAGGGAGCTAACTCCGTTTGCCTAATCGAAAGTTCGAGGTGGATCCACATTCGAAACTAAACGCACTTGTTGTTGAGAATATGTACAACGTAAACAAACCCGCATTACGAACTGCTATTTTGTCTATTTAAAATGAGTATTATGACTTATTATTGGATTAGAATGTACAAATGCGATGACAAATTGACAATACAGCAGAACTCACTTCTACGGACATCGCCAAACTAGGTCGTGGGGTCATTAATATTCATGAGTTATTCCTTTTATGGAACAAGTTCTCGGAAAAGTTTGAGGCTTGTATCATAACTGTCATGTCCGAGATCAATTCAAGTGTAGACATATTTCCAGCCGCAAACTTATGATTAGATTGATGTGTTATACTGGAAAATGTAGAATGAGTTGTATTGCCTCTGTAAATTTAATTTGAAGTAGATCTAAGTTTCTTGCTTTGTAACTATTTTTGCAAAACTAGTGTGGTCAGCTATGATGACGTTATTCAAACTTCAAAGACTTTTTGTGCATTTATAAAGATATTTCCCATCAATATTACAAAATGAGAATAATATATAATGTCACATACCCATGCAAATGTGAACCCACTAGTCTAAATGACTCAGTCAACCCAATGAAGCCCAGCGATTTACAAATGTGGGCCCACCTGTTTCGATCACTATAAGACGGGAACAATGCGGGCCCACATTTTAGAAAATGGTTATAAGTAAGCCAGGCTAATGAAGCTTAACGATAAATAAATGTGGTCCCTCCTGTTGCAATCATTATGACGGAAGAACGTCTTCCTACTAGGTGATATACAAATGTGGGCCCACTTGTTTCGATCACCATATATGACGGGAACAATGTGGGCCCACATTTGAGAAAATGATTATCAATATTTAAGTAGAATTTCGCGATTAATAAATGTGGTCCCTCCTGCTGCAATCAATATGACGGAAGAACGTCTGCCCACATTTAGGAATTGATTATCAACCGAACTAATTAAACAACCTAACGAAGCTAGGCGATATACAAATGTGGGCCCACTTGTTTCGATCACCATATAGATCTATGACTGGAAAAATGTAGGCCCACATTTTAGAAAATGGTTTTCAGCACTAAACCAATCTAAGAAGATGTACGGATGGAAACATAGATATATAATGCATTCAAACATTGAATTAAGAATACGATTTACCTGAGGGATAAGCTGGGCATTTAATACCAACAACGTACAGCGTGACTGACGCCATTTCTCACAAATACGAAAACAACAGAGATAGCTCCCGTTTGAAATTAGAGTGACCTCCCTTTCCCAATATGAACCACTGATAATGCGATTTCGCCCTCAACAGTGACATTGGTTGGGACGCTTCCTTCATTGTTGTGTAGTCGCCCGGGCTTGTGTTATATGTGTTAATAAACATAGTGAGTGAGTTGGATTTAACGCCGCTTTTAACATTATTCCAGTTATATCACGGCGTGTCAGATTAATGTGGAAGGAAAGCCCGGAGTGATGCAGGTCTCAGACGTTTACCACTTCGGTGAAACCCACGGTATGGTGCTGACAAACCTAGAAACATAATCGGGGCGAACCGGGATTCGAACCCACAACCCCTTAGACGACTGGGCCACCCGTGCCCCCTAATAAACATAGAATTAACACTGTAGGATTTTAAGAGTAAACTGGACACAGACGTCAAGTTGAAGAGGTTGACAAGCAACGAGTATTGATTTCCTTACAGAAGTGTAGTGTACCCCTAAACAAGCTTGGAATACTTATTGATAGTGTGAGAGATTGGGTTTGACGCCGCTTTGAATTCTGTTTCAGTTCACAGCACCTGAAACAGTCTTAGTATGTAGGAAAGCTCAATAACGCAGGTCGTAGACGCTTAACTATCAAACCTTTTGTAAACATATCTGGGACTCGAACTCTTGACTCGCGTCGCCGTTTTATCTGTATGGACCCCCAACGCCAGCGCAGTTAACTGGGTGACTGTCTTAACGCAACAGTCAGCGTGAACCAGTATGACCAACGATGGGTCAAAGTGACATAAAAGTACATGTACTTTCATATGTAGGTAATCTACACTGTGTAGGAACGTGATAAGGCAAGTAGCGAAGTCACGCGAGAAGGACATTTCAAGCGTCCATCATAACAAGTACTGATTAACATGGAAAGTCAGCAGTAAGTAAAATTTAATATTCTCCTCAAATAGGCTTCATCCTCCATCGCTATTGCAGTGTTTTTAATTAGTTGACACCATACGCGACGATATCGTGAGAGGCGACTAAAGGGATCGGGTGGTCAGGCTCGCTGGCTTGGTTGATGCATGTCATCGTATCCCAATTGCGTGGATCGATGCTCATGATATCAATCACTGGATTGTCTGGTATAGACTCGATTATTGACAAGCCGCCGTCGTATAGCTGGAATATGGCTGAGTGCGGCGCTAAACAACAAACCAACCAACCAACCAACCAACCTCTCGGCTTAATACGTCATTTGCAAGGAACGTACGGGATTGAGGTACGCTTGGATGAAACTAGGCAAAGCAGGATAAGTGTTACATTGACACTGGCTCACAGATTGAATCCTTCTTGCCAAGTACGTCCTCAAACAAATTACCATTTCAACTACTCTTTCAATACTGTAAGACGGACCCGTGAAGATCCGGGTTAGAATAGGTCTTCAACAACCTATATGCTTGTGGTAAGAGGCGACCAACGGGATCGGGTGGTCAGGCTCGCTGACTTGGTTGATGCAGATCATCGTATCCAAGTTGCGTGGATCGATGCTCATATCCCTGAATTGTGTGGTCCAGACAACAACTGTAAGACGCTTGGGAATGTGTGTGTGTGTGTGTGTGTGTGTGTGTGTGTGTGTGTGTGTGTGTGTGTGTGCATGATGTCTGAATGAGGGCTATAGCCTCTGATCTGCTGCGATGTCTGAATGTGGGTTTAAACTCTGACCTGCTGCGCTGTCTGAATGTGGGTTTAAACTCTGACCTGCTGCGCTGTCTGAATGTGGGTTTAAACTCTGACCTGCTGCGCTGCCTGAATGTGGGGTTAAACTCTTTGACCTGCTGCGCTGCCTGAATGTGGGGTTTTGCCTCTGATCTGCTGTAACAAGAGTTAACCCACAACCCTTGATGTAAAAATGTTTGCATTAAGAGTAATATTTATTTTAAGGTTTGTAATAGAGGTTCAGTACTTTGAAAACAGGAATAAGCAAGCACTGCTGTAACGCCTGTATTACACTGTACAGTAAGAGTTATCCTTCTTGTTTGAACTCGATCTCGTGTTCATAGGCCCATATGCAAACCTTCGAGAGGGGCACGACGTGTCCCGGATAGACACGAGTTGGTCACGAATAAGTCACGAATGTCATGGGTTATACCGGAAACAGACGAGGTGGGGGAAGCAATCTGGCATAATTAGTAGGGGAAGCAATCTGGCATAATTAGTGGGGGAAGCAATCTAGCATAATTACTGGGGTAAGCAATCTGGCATATTTAGTAGGGGAAGCAATCTGGCATAATTAGTAGGGGAAGCAATCTGGCATAATAAGTGGGGGAAGCAATCTGGTAAAATTAGGAGGGGGAAGCAATCTGGTGTAATTAGTAGGGGAAGGAATCTGGCATAATTACTGGGGGAAGCAATCTGGTAAAATTAGGAGGGGGAAGCAATCTGGTGTAATTAGTAGGGGAAGCTATCTGGCATAATTAGTGAGGGAAGCAATCTGGCATAATTAGTAGGGGAAGCAATCTGGTAAAATTAGGAGGGGGAAGCAATCTGGTGTAATTAGTAGGGGAAGGAATCTGGCATAATTACTGGGGGAAGCAATCTGGTAAAATTAGGAGGGGGAAGCAATCTGGTGTAATTAGTAGGGGAAGCTATCTGGCATAATTAGTGAGGGAAGCAATCTGGCATAATTAGTAGGGGAAGCAATCTGGCATAATTAGTGGGGGAAGCAATCTGGCATAATTACTGGGGGAAGCAATCTGGCATAATTACTGGGGGAAGCAATCTGGCATAGTAAGTGGGGCAAGCAATCTGGTAAAATTAGGAGGGGGAAGCAATCTGGTATAATTAGTAAGGGAAGCAACCTGGCATAATAAACAAATTACCATTTCAACAACTCTTTCAATACTGTAAGACGGACCCGTGAAGATCCGGGTTAGAATAGGTCTTCAGCAACCTATATGCTTGTGGTAAGAGGCGACTAACGGGATCGGGTGGTCAGGCTCGCTGACTTGGTTGATGCAGATCATCGTATCCAAGTTACGTGGATCGATGCTCATATCACTGAATTGTGTGGTCCAGACACGATTATTCACAGATGCCGCCATACAGCTGTATAACAAAAGTGTGTGTGTGTGTGTGTGTGTGTGTGTGTGTGTGTGTGTGTGTGTGTGCATGATGTCTGAATGTAGGGGAAAAGCCTCTGACCTGTTGCGCTGTCTGAATGTGGGTTTTAACTCTGACCTGCTGCGCTGTCTGAATGTGGGTTATAGCCTCTGATCTGCTGCGCTGTCTGAATGTGGGGTATAGCCTCTGACCTGTTGCGCTGTCTGAATGTGGGATATGGTCTCTGATCTGCTGCGCTGTCTGAATGTGGGGTATAGCCTCTGACCTGTTGCGCTGTCTGAATGTGGGATATGGTCTCTGACCTGCTGCGCTGTCTGAATGTGGGTTATGGTCTCTGACCTGCTGCGCTGTCTGAATGTGGGTTATAGGCTCTGACCTGCTGCACTGTCTGAATGTGGGTTATAGCCTCTGATCTGATGCGCTATCTGAATCATGGTTTTAACTCTCTGAACTGGTGCGCTGTCTGAATGTGAGGTATAGCCTCTGACCTGCTGCGCTGTCTGAACGTGGGTTTTAACTCTCTGAACTGCTGCGCTGTCTGAATGTGGGTTTTAACTCTGAACTGCTGTGCAGTCTGAATTTGGGGTATAGCCTCTGACCTGCCGAGCTGTCTGAATGTGGGTTATAGCCTCTGACCTGTTGCGCTGTCTGAATGTGGGTTTTAACTCTCTGACCTGCTGCGCTGTCTGAATGTGGGCTATGGTCTCTGACCTGCTGCGCCGTCTGAATGTGGGCTATGGTCTCTGACCTGCTGCGCTGTCTAAATGTGGGCTATGGTCTCTGACCTGCTGCGCTGTCTAAATGTGGGCTATGGTCTCTGACCTGCTGCGCCGTCTGAATGTGGGCTATGGTCTCTGACCTGTTGCGCTGTCTGAATGTGGGATATGGTCTCTGATCTGCTGCGCTGTCTGAATGTGGGGTATAGCCTCTGATCTGCTGCGCTGTCTGAATGTGGGTTTTAACTCTCTGACCTGCTGCGCTGTCTGAATGTGGGATATGGCCTCTGACCTGCTTCGCTGTCTGAATGTGGGTTATGGGCTCTGACCTGCTGCACTGTCTGAATGTGGGTTATAGCCTCTGATCTGATGCGCTATCTGAATCATGGTTTTAACTCTCTGAACTGCTGCGCTGTCTGAATGTGAGGTATAGCCTCTGACCTGCCGCGCTGTCTGAATGTGGGTTTCAACTCTCTGAACTGCTGCTCTGTCTGAATGTGGGTTTTAACTCTGAACTGCTGTGCAGTCTGAATTTGGGGTATAGCCTCTGACCTGCCGCGCTGTCTGAATGTGGGTTATAGCCTCTGATCTTCTGCGCTGTCTGAATGTGGGTTTTAACTCTCTGACCTGCTGCGCTGTCTGAATGTGGGTTATGGTCTCTGACCTGCCCTAAATCCCTCACTCATTCATTCTTCACAGAACTCCCGAGATTCTGGACTACCGGAATGAAAATGGTCATGGGTGGTCCTTCTACAAACATGACGGCGTCCTCCTGCATATTCACACTACCCCTGAAGCTCATATGGAAATAATCCGAAATGTTCAGAAGTTCGAGCTGAGGGACGATGACGTCATGATAGTGGCATATCCCAAATGTGGTAAGAACTCGAGATAGACGATTTACTCAATAAATGATTCTAAAATGAATAATATGATTTCTAGAGTGTGAGTGAATGTTGTTATACGCCGCAGTAAGCATGTGGCTCAGTATGGGGCTAAATACCCAAGCACCCAGCAACTCTCACATCTCACACACATGGTGCTGTCTATTCCGATCCCTCCAGGTACCCACTGGTTGTGGGAAATCGTCACCATGCTCAGGGCCGGTAATTCTGAGTACAACAAGAAGGCGAAGGAGATCGCCATGTTGGGGATGCCGAAGTTTGAGCGGGCTGATGAACTTCCCTCTCCGCGGGTTCTGAACTCGCATCTTTACTTCCGTCATCTGCCGGAGAAACTGGTGGAGAAGAGGATTAAAACCATCCTCATCATGCGAAATCCAAAAGATGTCAGCGTATCTCACTATCATCATGTCAGCGGACTCCAAAAGGTGTTTATGTATGACGGGACGTATTCAGAATTTCTGGATCTGTTTCTTGAAGGAAAAGGTGAGTGAAATGTTCAATGGTCATATCAAGCCTCATGATTTTAACAAAGGCTGATAGTGTAATATGGTTATTACCATGCATGTATATGTTTATAATAATCCAACGGCAGAAATGTTTTTTTATATTTATTTAATTTCAAATCAACAATTAATATGATACGTTTACTAACGTTTCTTCAGCTATTCAACCAAATACAGTTCACGGTGGCCCAGTCGTTTAAGGTTCCGCAATTGGCATGGCATGCAAGAAACCTATTATCATGGATTCGAATCCCGGTTCCAATTACGTTTCTAGCTGTGTCAGCACTATGCCCTGGCTCGTGAGTTTGACAAAGATGGTAAACGTCTGGGACATGAATGTCTTCAGGCTTTCCTCCCACGTTAAGGCAAACGCCGTGTAGTCTGTCTCCCAGTCCCTGAACCATTTTATATCCCTTTCGCCCATCACTTACTGTAATGCTTTAACTCAAAACAAAGCAAGCATTTTTCTTCGCTGGAGTCACTGAAGCATAGAGGCCTTTTTCTTTCCGTTGTATGGCCAGGTTATCAGGGGTTATACGGTAACATGACTGATTTAACGTATACATGTCAAATCACTTTGACTGTTTTCGTCTGAGCTGCTGACCTGCTGCGCCGTCTGAATGTGGGTTATGGTCTCTGACCTGCTGCGCCGTCTAAATGTGGGCTATGGTCTCTGACCTGCTGCGCCGTCTGAATGTGGGTTATGGTCTCTGACCTGCTGCGCCATCTTAATGTGGGCTATGGTCTCTGACCTGCTGCGCTGTCTGAATGTGGGTTATGGTCTCTGACCTGCTGCGCCGTCTGAATGTGGGTTATGGTCTCTGACCTGCTGCGCCGTCTGAATGTGGGTTATGGTCTCTGACCTGCTGCGCCGTCTGAATGTGGGTTATAGTCTCTGACCTGCTGCGCCGTCTGAATGTGGGTTATGGTCTCTGACCTGCTGCGCCGTCTGAATGTGGGTTATAGGCTCTGACCTGCTGCGCTGTCTGAATGTGGGGTATAGCCTCTGATCTGCTGCGCTGTCTGAATGTGGGTTTTAACTCTCTGACCTGCTGCGCTGTCTGAATGTGGGATATGGCCTCTGACCTGCTGCGCTGTCTGAATGTGGGTTATAGTCTCTGGCCTGCTGCGCTGTCTGAATGTGGGTTATAGTCTCTGACCTGCTGCGCCGTCTGAATGTGGGTTATAGTCTCTGACCTGCTGCGCCGTCTGAATGTGGGCTATGGTCTCTGACCTGCTGCGCCGTCTGAATGTGGGTTATAGTCTCTGACCTGCTGCGCCGTCTGAATGTGGGTTATGGTCTCTGACCTGCTGCACCGTCTGAATGTGGGTTATGGTCTCTGACCTGCTGCGCCGTCTGAATGTGGGTTATAGTCTCTGACCTGCTGCGCCGTCTGAATGTGGGCTATTGTCTCTGACCTGCTGCGCTGTCTGAATGTGGGTTATGGTCTCTGACCTGCTGCGCCGTCTGAATGTGGGTTATAGTCTCTGGCCTGCTGCGCTGTCTGAATGTGGGTTATAGTCTCTGACCTGCTGCGCCGACTGAATGTGGGTTATAGTCTCTGACCTGCTGCGCCGTCTGAATGTGGGTTATGGTCTCTGACCTGCTGCGCCGTCTGAATGTGGGTTATAGTCTCTGACCTGCTGCGCCGTCTGAGTGTGGGTTATGATCTCTGACCTGCTGCGCCGTCTGAATGTGGGTTATGGTCTCTGACCTGCTGCGCCGTCTGAATGTGGGCTATTGTCTCTGACCTGCTGCGCTGTCTGAATGTAGGTTATGGTCTCTGACCTGCTGCGCCGTCTGAATGTGGGTTATGGTCTCTGACCTGCTGCGCCGTCTGAATGTGGGTTATGGTCTCTGACTTGCTGCGCTGTCTGAATGTGGGTTATAGTCTCTGACCTGCTGCGCCGTCTGAATGTGGGCTATGGTCTCTGACCTGCTGCGCTGTCTGAATGTAGGTTATGGTCTCTGAGCTGCTGCGCCGTCTGAATGTGGGCTATGGTCTCTGACCTGCTGCGCCGTCTGAATGTGGGTTATAGTCTCTGACCTGCTGCGCTGTCTGAATGTGGGTTATAGTCTCTGACCTGCTGCGCCGTCTGAATGTGGGTTATGGTCTCTGACCTGCTGCGCCGTCTGAATGTGGGCTATGGTCTCTGACCTGCTGCGCCGTCTGAATGTGGGCTATGGTCTCTGACCTGCTGCGCCGTCTAAATGTGGGTTATGGTCTCTGACCTGCTGCGCCGTCTGAATGTGGGCTATGGTCTCTGACCTGCTGCGCCGTCTGAATGTGGGCTATTGTCTCTGACCTGCTGCGCTGTCTGAATGTGGGTTATGGTCTCTGACCTGCTGCGCCGTCTGAATGTGGGTTATGGTCTCTGACCTGCTGCGCCGTCTGAATGTGGGTTATGGTCTCTGACCTGCTGCGCTGTCTGAATGTGGGTAACAGGATCTGACCTGCTGCGCTGTCTAAGCGTGGGTAACAGGATCTGACCTGCTGCGCTGTCTAAGTGTGGGTAACAGGATCTGACCTGCTGCGCTGTCTAAGTGTGGATAACAGGATCTGACCTGCTGCGCTGAGTGTGAACACTCTAATGAGACGCACTCTGTGAATGTGGGTTAATATTAAATGCTCCGATGTGCTGCTCCCTGAATGTGGATTAAGATTTACCTATTTGTTGCTTAAATAAATACATAAAGTTCTGCCCTGTTTCATCGCTACTTCAGTAGGCGCTGGCCTTCCTGTAGACATATGCTTACATATAAATATATGTTTATGGTGTTTCATTTAATTACTTCCAATGTTTCAGTTCCCGGTGGTGGTTATGCAGACTACGTGAAGGATTGGCAGCAAGTGAAACAGGACAACCCGGACTTGCCTTTCCTAACCTTGTTTTATGAAAACTTGAAAGAGGTTTGTATTTCTTTGATCTAAGACCTGTGTCGAAAGGAGGTCATGGTCTGCTAAGTATACAGTTAGAAGATTTGTCTGAACACTTGAAAATTCAAACTTCACTCTGCTCATTCCTGTGTACTGTGAAGTCGCTCCAAGGGGACGTCATGTCCTCGCCATCTGCTGTAATATAGTTATTGATATGGGGCATGTGATGTCGCCTGATGGTTTTCTTTTTAGGATCCTGTTAAAAACATCAAAACGGTTGCCGAGTTCATAGGAGAGTCAGTCACTGATGAACTCTGTCAGCAAATAGCGGAAGCGTGCAGCTTTAAGAAGCTGAAGGTTGCAGCCACGGAGGTGAAGGAGGAATTACCAAATAGCAATCGGTCAGAAGTCTGGAAGGAAGGACACGAAGGAGTGTACAGAAAAGGTGAGATGATTCTTAGGTTTGCCATTGTCTTCTTCATTTGAATCGTAAATCACATGACCACACGGGTTAGAGTAGGCCCCAAGTGTTATATTGCTTGTTGTGAAGACACACGCGGGTGAGAGTTGGTCCCAAGTATCATATTGATTGTTGTGTGACACACGCGGGTTAGAGTTGGTCCCAAGTATTATATTGCTTGTTGTGAGGACACGACAGGTTAGAGTTGGATCAAAGTATTATATTGCTTGTTGTGAGGACACACGCGGGTTAGAGTTGGCCCCAAGTATTAAATTGCTTGTTGTGAGGACACACACGGGTTAGAGTAGGTCCCAAGTATTAGATTGCTTGTTTTGATGACACACGCGGGTTAGAGTAGGTCCCAAGTATTATATTGATTGTTGTGAGGACACGACAGGTTAGAGTAGGTCCCAAGTATTATATTGCTTCATCTGAGGACAAACACGGGTTAGAGTAGGTCCCAAGTATTATATTGATTGTTGTCAGGATTCGACGGGTTAGAGTGGGCCCCAAGTATTATATTGCTTGTTGTGAGGACACACGCGGGTTAGAGTTGGTCCCAAGTATTATATTGCTTGTTGTGAGGACACACGACAGGTTAGAGTTGGCCCAAAGTATCACATTGCTTGTTGTGAGGACACACACGGGATAGAGTTGGCCCAAAGTATCATATTGCTTGTTGTGAGGACACACACGGGTTAGAGTAGGCCCCAAGTATCATATTGCTTCTTATGAGGACACGACAGGTTAGAGTAGGTCCCAAGTATTATATTGATTGTTGTGAGGACACACACGGGTTAGAGTTGGCCCCAAGTATTATATTACTTGTTGTGAGGACACGACAGGTTAGAGTAGGTCCCAAGTATTATATTGATTGTTGTGAGGACACACATAGGTTAGAGTAGGTCCCAAGTATTTTATTGATTGTTTTGAGGACACGACAGGTTAGAGTAGACGCGAAGTATTATATTGCTTGTTGAGAGGACACACATGGGTCAGAGTAGGTCCCAAGTATTATATTACTTGTTGTGATAACACACATGGGTCAGAGTCGGTCCCAATTGTTATATTACTTGTTGAGAGGACACACATGGGTCAGAATAGGTCCCAAGTATTATATTGCTTGTTGAGAGGACACACATGGGTCAGAGTAGGTCCTTGGTGTATAACTTACTTACGACCTGGTCATGTATTGCTTACTTAGGAAGTTAATCCTGTATTGCTTACTAATGAAGTTAATCCTCTATTACTTACTAATGAAGTTAATCCTGTATTATTTACTAAGGAAGTTAATCCCGTATTACTTGCTAATGAACTTAATACTCTATTACTTACTAATGAACTTAATCCTGTATTTTTTACTTAGGAAGTTAATCCTGTATTACTTACTTAGGAAGTTAATCCTGTATTACATACTTAGGAAGTTAATCCTGTATTACTTACTTAGGAAGTTAATCCTGTATAACTTACTGAGGAAGTTCATCCTGTATTACTTACTTAGGAAGTTAATCCTGTATTACTTACTGAGGAAGTTAATCCTGTATAACTTACTTAGGAAGTTAATCCTGTATAACTTACTGAGGAAGTTTATCCTGTATTACTTACATAGGAAGTTAATCCTGTATTACTTACTGAGGAAGTTAATCCTGTATTACTTACTTAGGAAGTTAATCCTGTATTACTTACTTAGGAAGTTAATCCTGTATTACTTACTGAGGAAGTTTATCCTGTATTACTTACTTAGGAAGTTAATCCTGTATTACTTACTTAGGAGGTTAATCCTGTATTACTTACTCATGAACTTAATCCTGTATTACTTACTTAGGAAGTTTATCCTGTATTACTTACTTAGGAAGTTTATCCTGTATTACTAGTGTAAAGGTTGGATATTTTGCCCAGGTTCCTTACACCAGTTACTTAAATTTCTTGCCAATTTACTAATTTTAGAATAGGGTTTTGGGGTTCACGGCACTGTTCTCATGGGTCCCATAGCAACAGCTCTTAGCCAATAGCCTGGGGCTATTTGGTTCACATGACAAGGGCCAGTGCCACCGTGGGACCCCTAAACTCTTTCTGCCTGCACTGCCTGGACACCAAAAACGCCAGATAGCCCTGTTCATTTTGTTTTAGGTAAGAGCCCCAGTTTCTCTTTCTGGTAACTTTAGGTCTATTGTATGCAATTATGGTATGGTCCAGTGCATAGTTATAACATTTACAGGACTAAGAATGTGCTGCATTTAATTTCATAAAGTCAAGCAAAATTCAAAACAAGTGTTTGGCCATTGTCCAAGTCATTCTTGCTGTGCCAAACTGGCAAACGTCGCTCATCTTTGACTGTCCAAAGTAGCACTCAATGGCAATAATGAATGACATTTATTTGTTGCATTATTTTCTCGTTTGAAAATAGCTTTAGTAACATACCTTTTGTGTTTGGAAGTAATTTTGCTAATTAGATCGCCCAGTCAAAATTGAAAACTAGCTCATTGCTTAATTCAAAGTTACAGTTATTCCAAATTCTTTCGTCTGATAAATGCACTTGTTGCTGACAGCAACAGAACTCTGTTGCAAGTTTATTTTAAATTAAAAAGTGGCTATCACTGGTCATTGTTTCCCAAGCCATGTGCTCAGTTAAAAAACCCTGGTGCCATCTGGAAGTAATTAGTGGCTGACCCCTCACTGACAACTCTTGACCTGTGCGCTGGGCAGCACACATTATCTTCGGCTATCCTCGGCACTCTCCGGCTCTCCTCCGGTTCCATCACAAAATGTAAACAAGGCATGGCTCCGTCGTCTGCTTCATGTTTACCTTCACACAGTTTGGCCTACTATACAGTAATGTCATCCTATCCTAATGTCTGTGAAGTAATAGTAACACGTACCAGTGAATATATATGGCATAAATTATCAGGCAATTCGAGATTAGTGTTCATTCCAAGCTTTGGCTATTTCCGGCAGATGGTAACTTTCTTGTTCTCTTGGCGTCTTGCGGTACGCAATCCTACATGATGACAACAGGCTTAACATTACCAACTTCTAAATATGAAAATACCCAGTTTATTAAATACCAAGCCTGTCCTATTAAATATGTAGTATTTCTACATTGTCGGATGGGTGTTGTAAAGTAATTTCACTGCGTTTTCCCACTTGATGTGATAGTGAAGTCACCTTGTATTCAATAATAATATAATGTATTATATTATATGGCCTGCAATTTGCCTGCAATTTGAGTAATATATATTACGTAATACCCATTTATTATATTCCTTTTTAATACATTTGCTTAAATTGGGCATTCATTCTGGGTAGCCTCACGTGGCTTACCTACGGGGTGTATTGACATACTGTTCCAGCTAGCCCCATATGGACTGGTACGATCATCCGACAGGCAGTCATATCCCACCCCTCTTAGCCACCTTTCTAGTACAGGCCAGGTGTCCTGTCGTGGTTATTAGTATTGCGTGTTTAAACCGGTTTTATATACATGCACATCATATTCCAAATGCGCTGGGATAAATATTCCCTCATTTTGGGTTTAAATGTATGTTTCCAAAATCTCTATTGGCAGCTGTTAAAGTGACTTTCACCTCACGTCAGGTGGGATCTTATATGTATCCTATATGGTAGAAAGGATGTGATGATTATATTGGGGGATTATTAGTTAATCTCATTTCTGTGAACAATCATTGTCGTTGTGTATTTATTTATGCACATATGCTTTTTTGTATCAATAATGCGTTTGCATAGTCCTTAACAGTATCGTTTTCTCCTATAAGTATTATCATCACATCCCGAATATCAGTTGGATTATTGTTGATTCTTTTAAATATATTTTATAAGCTATTTTCTGCCTGCACTGCCTGGACACCAACATCACCAGATAGCCCTGTTCATTTTGTTTTAGGTGTTTTCCAGACTGTGCGACCAGGACTTGCACCCTGTAACTTTCTGACACTTTATTATACTATTATTACTGTCTTTTTATGTTGTGTCATCTTTGACTGGAGTATTTCGCGCAGTAAGCACACTTGCCCACCCCTTATCCGTAAGACGAAATTGTTACCTAACCGTGGTGATTTCACAGGTCTTACACTTACTCAGGAAGTTAATCCTGTATTACTTACTAAGGAAGTTAATCCTGTATAACTTACTTATGAACTTAATCCTGTATTACTTACTAAGGAAGTTAATCCTGTATTACTTACTTAGGATGTTAATCCTGCATTACTTACTTAGGAAGTTTATCCTGCATTACTTACTAAGGAAGTAAATCCTGTATTACATACTAAGGAAGTTAATCCTGTATTACATACTAAGGAAGTTAATCCTGTATTACTTACTCAGGAAGTTAATCCTGTATTACTTACTCAGGAAGTTAATCCTGTATTACTTACTCAGGAATTAAATCCTGTATTACTTACTCAGGAAGTTAATCCTGTATTACTTACGTATGAACTTAATCCTGTATTACTTACTAAGGAAGTTAATCCTGTATTACTTACTTAGGATGTTAATCCTGCATTACTTACTTAGGAAGTTTATCCTGCATTACTTACTAAGGAAGTAAATCCTGTATTACATACTAAGGAAGTTAATCCTGTATTACATACTAAGGAAGTTAATCCTGTATTACTTACTCAGGAAGTTAATCCTGTATTACTTACTCAGGAAGTTAATCCTGTATTACTTACTCAGGAATTAAATCCTGTATTACTTACTCAGGAAGTTAATCCTGTATTACTTACTCAGGAAGTTAATCCTGTATTACTTACTAAGGAAGTTAATCCTGTATTACTTACTTAGGATGTTAATCCTGCATTACTTACTTAGGAAGTTAATCCTGCATTACTTACTCAGGAATTAAATCCTGTATTACTTACTTAGGAAGTTAATCCTGCATTACTTACTAAGGAAGTCAATCCTGTATTACTTACTTAGGAAGTTAATCCTGTATTACTTACTAATGACGTTAATCCTGTATTACTTATTCAGGAATTAAATCCTGTATTACTTACTTAGGAAGTTAATCCTGTATTACTTACTAAGGAATTAAATCCTGTATTACTTACTCAGGAAGTTAATCCTGTATTACTTATCAGGAAGTTAATCCTGTATTACTTACTTAGGAAGTTAATCCTGTATTACTTACTAAGGAAGTAAATCCTGTATTACTTACTTGGGAAGTTAATCCTGTATTACTTACTTAGGAAGTTTATCCTGTATTACTTACTAAGGAAGTTTATCCTGTATTACTGACTCAGGAAGTTAATCCTGTATTACTTACTCAGGAATTAAATCCTGTATTACTTACTCAGGAAGTTAATCCTGTATTACTTACTCAGGAAGTTAATCCTGTATTACTTACTAAGGAAGTTAATCCTGTATTACTTACTTAGGATGTTAATCCTGCATTACTTACTTAGGAAGTTAATCCTGCATTACTTACTCAGGAATTAAATCCTGTATTACTTACTTAGGAAGTTAATCCTGCATTACTTACTAAGGAAGTCAATCCTGTATTACTTACTTAGGAAGTTAATCCTGTATTACTTACTAATGACGTTAATCCTGTATTACTTATTCAGGAATTAAATCCTGTATTACTTACTTAGGAAGTTAATCCTGTATTACTTACTAAGGAATTAAATCCTGTATTACTTACTCAGGAAGTTAATCCTGTATTACTTACTCAGAAAGTTAATCCTGTATTACTTACTTAGGAAGTTAATCCTGTATTACTTACTAAGGAAGTAAATCCTGTATTACTTACTTTGGAAGTTAATCCTGTATTACTTACTTAGGAAGTTTATCCTGTATTACTTACTAAGGAAGTTAATCCTGTATTACTTACTTAGGAAGTTAATCCTGTATTACTTACTTAGGAAGTTAATCCTGTATTACTTATTCAGGAATTAAATCCTGTATTACTTACTTAGGAAGTTAATCCTGTATTACTTACTAAGGAAGTTTATCCTGTATTACTTACTTAGGAAGTTAATCCTGTATTACTTACTAATGACCTTAATCCTGTATTACTTATTCAGGAATTAAATCCTGTATTACTTACTTAGGAAGTTAATCCTGTATTACTTACCCAGGAATTAAATCCTGTATTACTTACTCAGGAAGTTAATCCTGTATTACTTACTCAGGAAGTTAATCCTGTATTACTTATTCAGGAATTAAATCCTGTATTACTTACTTAGGAAGTTAATCCTGTATTACTTACTTAGGAAGTTTATCCTGTATTACTTACTAAGAAAGTTTATCCTGTATTACTTACTTAGGAATTAAATCCCGTATTACTTACTCAGGAAGTTAATCCTGTATTACTTACTCAGGAAGTTAATCCTGTATTACTTACTTAGGAAGTTCATCCTGTATTACTTACTAAGGAAGTTAATCCTGTATTACTTACTAATGAAGTTAATCCTGTATTACCTACTTAGGAAGTTTATCCTGTATTACTTACTAATGAAGTAAATCCTGTATTACTTACTAATGATCTTAATCCTGTATTACTTATTAATGAACTTAATCCTGCATTACTTACTAATGATCTTAATCCTGTATTACTTATTAATGAACTTAATCCTGTATTACTTACTAATTAAGTTAATCCTTTATTACTTACTTAGGAATTAAATCCTGTATTACTTACTGAAGTACTTATGGATTCATGTTGTTATTGTTTCAGGTGAAGTCGGGGATTGGAAGAACTGGATAACAGTTGCTAAAAACGAAAGATTCGATGACGTCATAGACCGAAAGTTTGAAGGAACAGGCATTGTGTTCACATATGAATAGCTGACGGATTATAAGTATATGTTGACGAGAATACTGAATGCCAAATATCATTAATATTCGTCATTCCAATATCTATGAATATTCACTAAGTATGTATTTTGCACGACCACCAGAGCTTACAAGATGAAACAGTACCAAGCTAGGCGTACCTGATGCTGACGTGGCAATCGGGCGTACCTTTGTACGGATGAAAGATTTCCGCTTGCGGATTCGGGAACCAATTTCACACCAATAACGTTCTGTAAATGGTGCCGTCGGGTGCAGCATGCGGAGTTAGCTGTCGCCCTTTTGAAACTGTCCGGCATATCCTACCGTACAGTAACCCCTGACGCGGGGGCACTAAATAGATTCGACGTCAGGACGTTCATTAATTGCTTCAGGCCAACGTCGGTGCGAGTACGACCACGGCAACTGCCCCCCACCCACCCAATGGAACTCTCAAAGGCAGTAATAGACGTGACAAAACGCCTTGTACTTCCGCTACAATGCAGTTTAATGGAGACGAGAGCGGCGCAAATACGCCTATTTTACCCTCCCCAAAATTCGACCTTTTGGGACGAGTTTCAGTGGACCGGGACTCAAATTAAATTCAAATACTTATCGATCATTCCGGTCGAATCGGGAACCCAAATATATATTTAAAAAAAGAAATTAAAAAAAAGACAAAACGATAGTCAAAATAGTCTAATTGCGACTAAAGTAATCGTTCAAGGGGAGTTACATGTAACTGGAGGGTGACCATCAAGATGTTACAATCCACTTATATTGTTCCGTTAATTGTTTTAGAAATTATTATAGTAGAAATGTTGTTATTACATACGAAGTGATATTCGTACTAGAAGTGTTTGCTACAGGTAACTTGCTTTTATTTGTATTGGAAGTGTCGTGTTACTTAGGAATTGATAATATTTGTAGTAAGAAGTGTTACTACATATGAATTGATTTTAGTCGAACTAGAAGAGTTTCGTTACAGGTGAATTGATATATTTGTATTAGAAGTGTTTATTTACTGTTATTATAGAAGTAGTATCTATAGTTTTAATTAAATTAAGCATAACTTATGTGGCGATGTACCTTCCCGTTATGAGAATGATATCAATGTTACAATAAAATGAATTACCTCCTTGATGGGGCGGTCGGGTAGCCTAGTGGTTAAAGCGTTCGTTCGTCACGCCGAAGACCCGGGTTCGATTCCCGACATGGGTAAAATGTGTGAAGCCCATTTCTGGTGTCCTCCGCCGTGATATTGCTGGAATATTGCTAAAAGCGGCGTAAAACTATACTCACTCACTCACCTCCTTGATGAGTCGTTTCGGTTTAGGCCTTGAACATGTTAACGTTGTTGTTAAACCGATGTGGAGATATTAATGTTCCACATATATTGAAATTGTATGTATAATGTACATTGAACAATGACTCTGTGAATCTGTCCACGGTCAACCAGCCTATGGTCACGATGGTTATCACCCAAAGCATTCCAGATTCAAAAAGTGAACCAACCTGGTTCCCCACGACTTGAGAGTGTGAGGACACTCTTCGCCAGAACGGGGGTCGTATTATAGGCATGAAAGAGCAATACATATTTAGATAATAAAAGGGAAGTTAAATCAATAATTCATAAAGTTAAGAAGGAATGTATACCAGATATTATAACAAGAATTGGCACCATCTTAGAGTGTGAAAAGTACAGAAATTAACAACTAGTTAAAGTAATTAACAATTCATTAAGACACCTACGTGATTGTGTAAAAAGGTCAAGAAGAGGAGTTGAAACCAGTAAGATATGAACATAACACATTGATATATATATAGGAGACGGGCAACTCTGATAGTTGAAGACTACGGGGAACATACTTGGCCACGAATAACCAGGGGTGAGGGTAGTAGGTCGAGGGTTATACATTAATGAAAGACGATTAACCAGATGGGAAGTAGATAAAAAATGGAACGGAGATGTTAGGGACCTGAGACATATATGGTATTCGGGAGGGGGGGGGGGGGGGGGGGGGGGGGTGGTGTTCGAATTCTAAAAGGGTGAGAAACATCATAACAAGTCCGAATATGGTGCTGGTTATTAGATAAGAGTGGGTTAGAATGATCTAGTGTAGGGGGGGATAGGTGGCTGACCAATGATAGATGGAAAAATGAGTAGAGCTGTGACGTAGGTACCGGTTTAAAAAGGGGCAAACGCCCCAAATCGAGAAAACGGCTAGGAGCTGCTGGGGAGACTACATCTGGACTGGTGCTCCGTTCTCGGCTTGTTGTCATGATCTTTAGAACCAGAAACCAAGCTTAGGCACCAGCATTTCGACTGAGACTGAAACTTTGCGGCCGAAGTCTCGTATTTAAGTGACAAATAGAGTGGGTTGACCGGCAACACAAAGTGGGAATAAAAGCTGTTAAACGAAGATCACTCTTTGTGCTTGTTGGAGGAACTACGGTAAAAAGTCCAAGTTCCTCGAGTGCTGACATTGTACCTCTCGCCCATCCCAGACAGTCAGCACCAAGAACGAGGGGATTACCGTAGTTCAGAAGAAGAGGTACGCGACTTGATATACCCTGGTAATTAACAACAATTACCGCCGGTCTTTAAGGCGCTAAAATTACCTTGGACACAAGTATGTACAACAAAACATGTTCGTGAATCATTTTATATTTTTTAATCTCGCTTTATATATGTCCAAAAACTGTCTGTGCCATGCGACGATTTCATTGCTAATAAATTAATCTTTATGGTCTCTCCTGGTGTCATTATTTCCGTGTTATGTTTGACTTCCGCCGTTCCCTTGTAGATTCAATGTTTGTCCGTACAATGTGGTGAGGTGAAAAGGGGTTTAACGTCGCGTCCAACATTATTGCACTTATATAGCGACGTGCATGCACGTGTGTGTCTAGCTGCTTGTACTAGTCCGGACTGATGCCGAGATTATAGTGCTAGCACACTGAGATACCATGACGCAGTTTAACATTAATACCCACTCAGACACAGTGTACTCACTCCGAGCTTGTTTTAGCCGAGCGCCATACAGGGTAACTACAAGTACCATCTTTTAACGTCTTTTGGTATGACGCGGCCAGGAATTGAACCCCTTCCGCTCTCCGGGCAGACGCTCTACCATTAGACCACGTCTGACCCGTATAAACAATCGTCACGGAGGACTTAGGTGTTTCACCAACAATCCTAGTGGCCCAAGGCCAGTTCGCTTGTCCCTCCCCCCGGGGGGTTATTATGTGTGAATCCCATTTCGGTTGTCCTTCACCTTGGTGTTTCCGGTGTACTTCTAAAACCAAACTCACTCACTCAGTCACTCATTTGAACAGTATTTCAGTCACCTTATAAACCTATTCATTGGGATCTCTTTTGAGTAAGAGACTTCTTTCTATAGGCATTAAAACCTATTGTGAGGTTTTACTTTCCAGTCGGGCTAAATCTCATAAACAGGGACGTTGTAATGTTTGGATTTTATATAATATCCCAGGGATTTTATAGGATATTCAAGTCATATTTGTTATAAAATCTCAGGGATTTTATTAATGTAACTTCCGTTCAGATTGTAACATGTAATGACATGTAAAATCAAATGACAAATGTTTTGTTTATATTCCAGAGGATCGAACTCGCAACCTTCATATCTGTACCCCAGTGAGTGTAGCACGAGGCTACAGATAAGCCTCCCTGGTTTTTAGAATGTCCTTTTCAAGATCCGTACGCCAGCAACAGATATTTTACGAGCGTTTCCTAAGGTTCATGGAAAGTATGTTCTAAAGATAAAAATGTTGATAAAATGTTCTTTTAAGTTTCTTTTTTCGGTTTATAAGTATGGAAAAACACTTTCCCTCGGTTTTGGTAGACAGAGCATGCCCTGGGGGTCGGGAAAAACCGCGGAGGCTTCGCCCCCTTGGTTTTGCCCTCTTCCCAGGGCTTGCTCTGTCTACCAAAACCTCGTGAGCGTGTTTTCTCCAATATGTAATGTGTCAGACCCACGAGGACCATCTCCCCGAGGCAAGGGAGTTAACTGACTATAAAAGTCCAGTTTCCACCGTTGCCGACCAAAGCTGGAAGTTCAAGGCTCGATAGTCGCGCCACCAGTGGCTATTACGAGTTATGTCCCTTCTATGTTCCATCGCTCATATCACAGACGGGCGGCGCCCAGTCAAGACGATCTGCTCGATAATCAAGATCTATATTGTTATAAAACGGGTCTTACCCCGCGACGTTCATCAAATCGCGTGAGCACCTTGATTAAAAGCATGAAAGAATTTACAAAATTTCTGTCGACGCCCAGTTGGTGGAACACATGCTTTGCAAATCCTGCAGTCGACCGAAATCTGCACGTTGAAATTCCTGTTGTAAACGGACCGGATGTCTCGTTACGCGATTCTGATTGGACTATGCATAAACTCGTTAGTCTTGACATATATGTAACTCGATAATTGCAGCCAAGTTCGAGGGCGGAGACTGGACTTTATAGTCAGTTAACTCCCTTGCCTCGGGAAGATGTGGAAACTGGACTTTAAGATGACGAGGACAGGTATGGTGCTGACAAACCGAATGGTTTTAACAAGCATGAAATACACATATCCCCCGCCAATATGACATGTCCGGTTGTGTGCAATGGTATAAGCCCTCCGGAAACGAGCACTACCGCCACTTTAACTCTAAGTCAAAGTCGTTTCCATACATTTTTCAAAAATCACAAACTTTTAAAATGCACCAGTTCACCATTATACCTATATATGTGCCAAGTTTGATTAAGATAACTCTCATGGTTGTTTAGTTTGTTTGTTTGTTGTTTTTTGTTGTTTAACGCCGCCCTCAGCAACATTCCAGTTATATGACGGCGGTCTGTAAATAAATGAGTCTGGACCAGACAATCTAGTGATTGACATCATAAGCATCGATCCACGCAATTGGGATACAAGGACATGTATCAACCAAGTCAGCGAGCCTGACCACCCGATCACGTTAGTCGCCTCTTCCGACAAGCATAGTCACCTCTTACGGCAAGCATGGGTTGCTGAAGACCTATTTTACCCCAGATCTTCACGGATCGGTTATTTTGTTCTTCTCCGGAAACGGACAGCACCCATTCCTATATCCCCTTCCACCGTGGACGGGGATAATAATGCGACACCTGGGATTTCAAAAGAAAATCAGAGTTGATTCTGCTGAAAGTGGACGATGTTTTATTATTCTAAAAGTAGCATTTATGTGTATTGACTTCTGTCATAAAAGGTTATGCTTTCATCATTACATGCACTGGCTAGATTTTCTATACAGTGCACCTGATCAAATATGTGAATGGTTATAGCTGACATTCGCTGGACTATTTTTTTTCTAATCCATAAAATTAGAGGTCTGCCAAATATAATAAAGTCCGATGATGTTATATAATATGTTCTAGTTCACCATCGCTTTGTGGCGCCAATCGGCCGAAACAAAAAAAATTGTTGTGGTTTTACTGCGAGGAATACTGTGATAAATGACTGCAAAACTCCATTCTGTCGACATAATTTTTATCATCACAGTTTACGCGTGCCAGTTACAGAGATTTCTTGAACAACAGAACACGAACAGGTTGCCATGGGAACTCCGACTCTGCACGAGCTGTTGGCAAGCCTTGCTGGTACTGCAACCGAACATCCTGGCTGGAAGAAGCCGGTCGTACAGCCCAACACACACATCCTGAAAAAAACAACATGGTTTCATAATAATAGTACATTTGTATAGCGCTGTTTCCAGGCTGAACACCATACCGCGGGTTTTATTCTCAGCTCCCTGGTGAGTATACAACCCCTGCTGTCTATGAGGCGGTCGAAGGTTAACAGCTACATTCTAACTCATCCTACCGGGTACCCATTCATTGTTAGATGAGGCATAAAACAGAGGCATATTGTGAACAGGTCATTTACCCAAGGAGGCTCCACATGTATTATATGTGCTTCAGTGTGGGGCAGTACCGAAGGCCTTGAATATCCCCGGAGCCAAGCTGCCAGACACGGTCACCCATCCAGTGACTCTCCGCAACCAACGTGGATTAACTACACCTCAATTGTAACATGTGCGCTGTGCATAGGACCACGTGCACCACTGGTTTTGGATATATTAGTGTATTTTCGATCCGTGAAGATCCGGGGTAGAATAGATCTTCAGCAACCCATGCTTGCCATAACAGGTGACTATGCTGAGAGGCGACTAACGGGATCGGGTGGTCAGGCTCCTGACTTGGTTGATGCATGTCATCGAATCCCAATTGAGTGGATCGATGCTCGTGATGTCAATCACTGAATTGTCTGGTCCAGACTCGATAATTCACAGACCGCCGTTATATAGCTGGAATTGTGCGGCGTTAAACAACACAGAAATAAAAAGTGTATTTTCTGGGGATATAACGAATACAGAAAGTGGCAAATACTATTCCTGTGACGAATATGAGATAACGAATAGAATATACAATCATTGATTGGGTATTTT